TTGTTGTTTGCTTGCAAGTTTTAAGTTGATAAAGGAAGTCCCAGCTTCACACTAGTCTATAGTACTGCCTACTGAACCTTTATTTTAAATCAATTCTATTTCATTGAAAATTATGTATATAATTGGAAAATTGTCTTCCAGGCAAAAGTAGTTGGTTTATACTGTGAATTGATAACTTGGAAAGTACTTTTAAGGTTAAATATATTTATCTTATGTAGTAGGAGTGAATTAACATTAAATTCTTCTTTATAATTTATAGTAGTGACTTCACCAGCAAACCAAATGGGAAATACTTACCAGTGCCTTATTACAAGATATTTCTGCTGTAGTATGTCCATTTGTTGGACTTCTGACCTCGTATATTTTACAAATTGTCGATTTGTTATCTACAAATTTGCTTTATTTCGTGCTATTTCTGTCATTATCAAATATTTGATGATATGAGCCTCTTTAAATGGAAAATATCATCTGGATACCATCCCATGTTGGTATCAATGGAAATGAGACCGCTGATCATGCAGCAAAACTGGCCTGTTCCTTAGAAAATACAGAAAACATACAAGACCTAAAGGCCAGTATCAAGAACAACATACTAAGCACTTGGCAAACACACTGGAAAGTCCAAAATACAAAACTACGCTCAATTCATCCAACTGTTACCTCCATCACCATGCCTTAAATGAGCAGAAAAGACAATATTATTATCAGAAGGCTCAGAATAGGTCAAACTCGTCTTACTCATGGATATCTGATGTCTTCTGAAAATCATCCTCGCTGTGAACATTGTAATGAAGCCTTAACAGTCCAGCACATATTACTAGAATGTGTCCACTACAAACCTCAAAGAGACTACTACAACTGTCACCTTTACTACTTAGTGTAATTATAAAGGGTGTTTTTTAGAGGTATAAAAATGGAAAATAAAAGATACAACTGATAAATGTTTTTATTTCTAAAATAAAATAAATGACAAGAAACATGATCACAGTCTATGTTAAATAACAGTCATAAGATCTAAAAATTATCAGTTACAAAGATTCGATCACAAATCTTAAAATAAAAACAATAAAAAAAATAAAAGAATGTCAACAAGTTACGTTTGGTGTACTATTTAATAATTCTGACATTATTTGGCTTAGATCTACACACATCCACAGTATCTAAGAATGTTTGATGAAGTTTTTACTTTATTTTGCAGATATTTAAAAAGGACATGCCAGAAAATAAAAAGGCATCGAAAAAAACTAGTTAGAGTAGATTTGGTAATAAAAACAACACACATACATCTAACAATCTTTTTAATAAAATTTTGGAAATAATCTCTTTACAAACAACATTCCTATTGACAATGATAACTAAGTCATTGAAATCTAAAATTCATAACCTACTCTAATGATTGTTCTCGATGGTTTGGTACTTTAAAACAATAAAAAAATTAATCACTTGTTCATATTGTTACGTTTACAATACTAATACAATGACAACCATATACGGTGTAGGTAAAAGTATAAAATCATAGTTTCAGCGATTAGACGAAGAAAACAATCATATTTCCCTTGGTCTCGCCACCACATTCCTTATGCCACTAGTGAACGCCAGACGATTATTTCCTATCCAGCATATACGTAAGGAACAGCGGAAGGATTGCCTTATTACATATACTTCATCTAATTTACATACCATAGCACGTCATAGATTGAAGTTGACATAGTTGCCAAAGTATAAAAAAATCCCTATCAATGTGGAAGCTCTAGAAAATCCCTTGGGCTATAGAAGAGAATACCTCAGTCAAAAGTTTGTTATTAATATACAAAATAGTAACACTACTCTCTACTCAAATATCAGAAAACTGAACGAAGAAGATTTAACTAATCGATATTGGAGACTTAAGACTCACCTCCACTTTGTGAGGCTTGTAGAAGCCTGACAAATTTTGAATATGACTTTAAATCAGAGGATAATCTTAACATCGAACATTTTTATTTGTGCTTGCAACCCATTACTGTGATACAACGGAATTACCATGTAAATTCTTCTGTTAGCTCGAATATTTTGAGGTCCTGTTTATCTAGTCTGTCAGACTCTTAGTTATTTATACGGATGTCCACAAAGTCTATTGTTGGTACTGGATGTGCTTTCTACATTCCATCAACTAATACAGAAAAACTTTGTCGACTAAATCCTAGTTTTTCAATCTTTAGTGCTGAAGCTGTAGCAATATATAAAGCATTAAGATACTTTGAAACCCAAGCTATGAAACATGAGTCAACGTTTGCCGCTGGTAATCTAAATATCACCGGATCCTTTCAGAATTCCAGTTTTATGTGAATTCTAAAAATGTTTTGAAATGTTGTTAAATAAAGATGTTTCTAACAAGTTATCTTTTTGTTTGTATCTTTACGCCCATGCGGACCATAAAGTACACTATTACGTAGTTGGTAGCTAAGCAATAAAAACACAATAATAAGCTAGTATGACATAAAATATAGTACCATCCAGCTCTTCTGCATCGTATGCTGAATCTTGTAAACGGTATACAATAAAATAAAATAACTGTATAAGTTATTTGTAAGTAAAATTGTTGTATATGATGTAAAACCGAAAAAAAATCTCATTAAACACACTTAGATACTTTTGATGTGCCTATACATTATTTAAACAATCGAAAAATACAATTTACTACCATTTTATAAAATCCCTAAGTTTTCTTAAAAAACAAAATATAAAAATCACAAAATTTTAATTTGTTCGGTAATCCTACTATTTGGTTCATCGTTGGTTTTGCGAAAAGAAATATTGCATCTTGTTATTGACGAATATTACCAACACAAACGACTATCGATGTTAAAAGTGTAATTTTCAAGTTGTTATACATTTATTTGATGTTATGTTTTTTATTGAACGACCCCTAGAAACAACGAATTAAAAGGTACTTGAATATGTTGAAGAAAAAGTGACAACGGTTTATTTATACCAGATTGAGCCATTAATACAGTCGGAAGTGGTCTTATGAAAGTAGATAAGCAGTTTTCTGTCTTCTCAGTGGCTATTCCTCCTTTTCTACGGCATCGTTTAGACGAATTATCGTTGGTTTCTTGGTTTATCTGCAATATTTCTTCATACAAAATGTCAACATGATGATAACAATCGTAATTATGTAAAAAACAAGGTAACGATTTAGATTGTAAGACCAAGGACCCTACTTTAGAACATCACAAACAACGTGATGTATGTTACATTAACATAATTATTTTTATGCTGTCTATATTGTAGTATTCTTACATTTTGTGTTGACTACACAGTATGGGGTATAATATATATTGTGTTGTCTATGTCAACGGAAGTATTTATAACAACATAAAAGAGTACTTTTAACCTTCATCGGACTGGCCAGGGTCTATTTTGACTCCCAGATCACCATTTTTGGCTGTTACTTTATAGATCTTAAGTTTTAATCAACAGTCTTCAATCGATCTGTTGTTTGTATATTGTATTGATAAAAAATTATGACTACAAGAACATTTAACGATTAAATTAAATTTAAACTTCAATTTTATAGGCTGTGGTCTCCTTATACCCCAGCCAGCCTTTTGTCATATAAATAAAATTCTAATAATGTGGGAATCCCCTAGATATTAAGGATTAGTACGACTATGAGTGTACAGTCCGTCCCAAACCCTTCTTTCAGTGTGTCATAGTTTATCGAATTCTCTCCAACGCATTAAGCTAGAAGTGACAGAAAAAAACGTGAGTCTGTGATTATTATACATAGAACTTAGAAAATTATGTATCGTTCACGGGTATTTGCATATTAAAGCGAATTCTACTTACGGATGTTTAATTGGTTGGAGTTTAGAATACGCTAAATAGATATCCAAACAATGATGCGTATGACTATAATTTGACGCAGATGGTCTCGATCGTGACAGTGCTTTCACAACGTCAACTGATAAAATGATAATTGTCATGTAACAGAGATCTATCTAGTTAGCCTTCTTCGGTCCATTTTTGGACATAGGCCACCCAAATTTCCATTCTTCTAACAGAGTAACAGAGGTAAAGAAGAAAATTACCTTATTATTGATCAAAGCATAGAGCAAAATGAACAACAATTAAGACTCCAAAGGCTTAACGGTATATGTATCTATAGATGGAACTGAATGGTCAAGGTTGTGGAGTGCTGGATCAAGTATCAAAAACGCTTTCGTTCTGTTTTTTTTTTCAGACGAAATTCTAAACAGAGTAGAACAAACAAAAATACAAGGGGCAGCGTCATGTGTGTTGTAGAGGCAAAGACAGAAAAACTAGTAAAATATGTGAAAAATGCAACAATTTTCAATCAGATATAGTTTGTAGTACATTGTACAAATAGTATGTAGTTGTTATTTAGCCTGTTAGTGCCAGGATTATAATGAATTTTGCAGTAATGCGTATGCTTTATTCTGATAAATGTTCAGCACTAAAAAAAATAATGTACCATTTTTTTTTCATATAAGTATAGTTCACCCATTATGGAATGGGATCCGTTCAGACCCTGGCCCGTCTTTTGTGTAATATTTTGAGGCTCGTCCTATGAAGGTTAACAAGGGAACTAAAACATTTTACTTCCCTTTTTATATTAATTTTATGTTTTCGTTGGTATTGTAGTGTAGGTTTAAGTTAACGCAGCAGTATTAATTGTCACAGTTAGTTGCTGCATTAACATCTCATTATGTAATTATAATAATCAAATAAGTAACTTAAAATAGGTCTTGCGTCTTCAAATTAGTAAAAAAAAGAATGAACCTTTCTTATTCTTCCCGTCTCTTATTCTCTGCTTTTTTCTCATTCTTCTTCTCGCTTGTAGTCTTATCCTCTCTTCTTTTCTCTGTTTCCATCCATCCTCCTCTCTTCCTGTCTATTTCCCGCATATTTTTGTTTTGTCGCGAACGTAAATTAAAAAAAAACAGACTCTTATAAGGAATGATCAAAATAACATCAAAAAAATACTTTCTTTCAATTCAAACAGCATTCCAATGTTCTGCCCTCCATAACAAAACAAACATGTTAGGTTTGACAGTCGGCGGAACCATAGCTCCCATCATGGGACTCGGTAAAGGGGTTCCGGTACTTATAGGTACATCAGTGTACCTAGACAGTAGATTCCGGTACCCCCTACCGATCGTCGCAATTAGAGGTACCTTTTCTTGCGTTCCTTGAGTACTTTTTCCCGTGTGCAGAGGTACGATGGCTCTAACTTCCTCTTCGTATGGACGGAAGATAGTTATGGGTCGAAGAGTGAACCGTTCAGCTATGATGACGCAGCCCCAGGTCGTACCGATATAAAGCTCGTCGTTGAGGGCGACCAGGCTGGTTACCTGGCAGTTGCTCGGGCTCAGATGTTCCTCAATAGCTATGGATTTGAGGCTTTCAGAACAAGGTACTAGTTTGGAACAGTCCAGCTTGTTTATGATGGTTTTCGTCTTGGAATCCCACTGGTAGACGACGCAATGGGGTCTCACGTATGACCAGACGTTACTTTCGACTGCAATGATGTTCATAACGTCAACTTTGGCGATAACTGGTTGGTAATGGTTGACGAGCTCGTGCCCGGCTACTACTTGATCTTTAATGGTGTAGATGGAAATTTGACCGTCAGATTCGCCACACCATAACTCACAAGACCTACAAAATAATGTGTAAATACTCAAAGGAGTCTTGATTTTATAAAAACACACACATACCCTTCTTTTTGATCGAATATACCACACATACAGTTGATGGCAGACATGGAACCCAGCTCTGTCATAACGAAGGAACCTTCTGCAGCAGTCGGCGTCAATGGTTTGGATTCGGAGTTGACCAAAAACAGCCTACCATTAGACAAGGCGCATGCTACTCTCTTCAGTGATGGCAAATACAACAAGGCCTCCACCTGTGTATTTGGTTGGCTGTCTAAGGTATAGAAGAAACAACTTTCGTCCGTCGTTTGCTCTAAAAATAACCAAATATTAACTTATATTGATGCAAAAATGATTTTTACTTACGAGTAAGCATGCAGTTTTCCGGAATAGTCGCCAATCCAAATCGAATCGCCCACTGTGCAAGCCGCTGTAGCTCTTATAGGCAACGTCATGGTATGGTACTGGAGCCACCCCCTTTCGGCCGCCAGAAGTAAGTCTACCCTTGAATTGGCACACATCAGCCACATCTCCGATCCCGATAATCCTTCGTCTACGAAAAAAAAATAATAATCAACAACAGCGTCAAAATTGGTTCGATTTTTGCGTGATGTAAGTTGTGTTGCCTATACTGAAGAAACGATTATGTAAATTGTGTCGTCTACATTACAACAAAATCCTAATATTCGCACTAATAATACAATAGTGTCGCAACTCAAAATTCGTCGAAATTGACATAACATTATATTCACGCGTAAAATTTAATTCCCTATAAGTCAATAAAACTGTCGTTTTAATAGTGCAATAAATGAATAAGATATGGCGCCATAAGACGATATTCATGACTGACCGACTGCCGTCACCCCTTCACAATATCGCGTGATCTTTAGTTGCAACCAACGGTGATCGGGAACGCACGTATTGCTTTGCTCATCATTTCGAGTTTCAACGTTATTGCTGAATCAGGTATGTAATTTTCATAGCTATATTTCAAGTTATTACATTCTTGTTGATTTGAACCTAACCATAATATTGTTGTTTTTCTAGTTATTACACTATTACTGATTTACACCAGCACTTTTTAAATTATTATTTTTACTAACGACACTATTCTTGGTTCAGTTCATTATTTTTGACATGCTACATTATTGTTGAATAATCACTTTAAACCATTTTTGTTGTTGTTTGTAAAACATTTATTAATCAATATCTATTTGCCGATCACCGAATAGTAATAACTCATTTAAGAAGTGTAGCATTGTTATTAAGAAAGCTTATCAACTACTTTATTTTATAAATTTAGAGTTAATACACTCTTTGTGACATTCTTCCGTCAAGTACCTATATACTTAATCTAATAATATTAATTGATTCATTTGTAGGTTTAATACCTATGAGTCGTGGGCGATTACTTGTTGCTAGGGCAACAAATACTGAGGACTGCGAGCAGGAAATCTCTTCACCGTCATTATTGTCACTGGAGAGTAGAAATAATGAACCTGATGTCCAAATAGAAAACAGTGACGTTGCGAAAGTACGATCACTTTCTATACCTTCACCATTTACGAGTGATCAAGTACTTCAAGAAATTGACGTAAACAGTTTCTTTAGTAAGGTTAGTAATGTTAAACCTATTATAGAATCCAACCACGGGCAATATTACATTTCACCGATCCACTCAGACCAGGGCGACTTTGATTCCGATGATTCCGACCGAGATCCGCATTTCGTTCCTGGTGTGCAAAGTAAAACCTATAGTTTGCTTCGAGGCCTAACAATAACATCATTAAGTAGCTCTTCTTCAAGAAGCTCTTCATCGAGTAGCTCTTCTACCAGTAGCTGTTCATCAAGTAGCTTGGATGATAGAGTTGTTCATAATTTAAATCCTTTTGCTGGAACTAGTGGGTTAACTAATGAATTAAAATTTTCCTTGGAAGACCAAAACAATAATACTAAGGGCAAAAAGAGGATACGTTATATTAAAACCTGGAAACACAGTGTAGCCAAACGACTTCGCAATACTGGCAAAGCGTATGAATCAGTGAACAAAAAACAAGTGCCTGCAAGGAAAATGGGTCCGAATTGTGGCAAAAAATGCAGGTTAAACTGTCGTTCACGAATAAACGAGACATTAAGACAAGATATTTTTAATAAGTATTGGAATTTGGGAGATTTACAAAAACAAAGAGAATTCATTATTAGACATACTATAGAAATTAAACCAAAATACAGATATTCTTCAACAAAAAATGTTCGCAAACTAAATACTGGATTTAATTTTACATTAAACAACGATCTCATTAGAGTTTGCAAAACAATGTTTAAAAATACTCTTGCTATAAACGATCGACCCATTGCTACAGCACTATCCAAAAAAACAGAGTGTGGTTTAATACAAGATGAATTACGTGGAAAACATGGCAAACAACGTACTGTGGAACCGGAGATCTGTGAAGGTGTCAAACATTTTATAAATGCTATACCACGCGTCGAATCACATTACCTTAGAGCCCAGACGTCACGGGAATATATCCAGTGTGACAAGTCTTTAGCTGATTTATATCGAGACTACAAAGATAAATGTACAGAAGGAAGCTTATCATTTGCGTCAGCATCTACCTTTAACCGCATTTTTAATAAAGACTTTAACATTTCCTTCCACACACCAAAAAAAGATCAGTGTGATCTTTGCGAAAATTTCAAAAATTCTGATGAAGATGGAAAAAAGAATATTATTGTGGCGTACGAAAACCATTTGAAAGAAAAAGAACTGTCCAGAAAAGAGAAAGAAAAAGACAAAAATGCTAACATAGATTCAACAATAGTCGCTGTATATGACTTACAAGCTGTGATGCCAGTACCAAAAGGCCAAGTTTCATTATTTTTTTACAAAAGTAGAATTAACTGTTTTAATTTTACTGTGAGTGACTTGTTCGCTAAAAATGTCGAATGCTATTTTTGGGACGAAACGGAGGGAAAACGTGGTGCGAATGAGATTGGGAGTTGTACTCTGAAATATATAGAAAAAATTTTACAGGCTAATCCTGGTAAAGAACTGGATTTTATATTTTATTCTGATAATTGTTGCGGACAACAAAAAAATAAATACATCCTTACAGCATATGCGTACGCAGTACAAAAAATGAATGTCAAAAGCATAACCCATAAATTTCTGATTCGCGGTCACTCTCAAAACGAGGGTGACAATGTGCATAGCGTCATAGAAAAGCAAGTAAAACGTTTCGTAAAATCTGGTCCAGTGTATGTCCCACAACAATATATGACATTAATTCAGTCGGCTAAAAAGACAGGCAAACCCTATAGCGTGACTGAAATGACCAATGAAAAATTTTACAATCTGAAATTACTTCAAGAAGAGTGGGGTAACAATTTTAATGTTAATGAAGAAAAAGACAAAATCAAATGGCATGACATTAAGGTATTTCGTGTTAAAAACGAACATCCATTTACTTTCTTTTATAAGAACTCTTACGAAGATGAAGATTACCAAAAAGTTTTCGTACGTAGCTTACGACGAACTGAAAACCAGACTTCGTTATTTGCTAATGGTTTGACACGAGAGTACACAAACAAGATACTTTAACTGAAAATAAGAAAAGGGACTTAAAGGAATTGCTTGACAAAAATGTAATACCCAGAAGCTACCGTGAAACTTACTATAAGGATTTGATCGATTAAAAATTAAAATTGTATTTAATTGTAACCAGTAATAATTAATTTTGAGACTGATTGAAACTCTGAGTTTTGAGACTGAGTTTAAATAATTTGTTTTTCTTTTAAATAGGTCCTTTTAATTAATCACGAATTACTTAAATATGACTATATTTTGTGTTCTTTTTTCAGAAGGTTTATTTTGTTAAATATATAGATTAAGTACAAAATGTTCAAGAATACTGTATTTTGTTATCTGTATCTGAGTTTGTTTGATTATAATATAAACGTAATTAAAAACAGTCTTGATTTATTTATTAATACCAAAATTGACAATTCTCGGTAATTGTTAACGTGTAATACAATCTCTTTAGATCCGAAGTTAACAAATACCAAGAATCAAGTTGCCAAAATTGTTGTAAGTCCAAAAACTAACGTAAACCACAGAAAAAATAGTAAATCAAATTGTAGTAACACAAAATATTTCATAAATAATGTCATAACTAAAAATAATATTTCATTTTGAACATTTTGCTTAGAGCAATACAGTGTTAACTCAAATTTTTTTAATAACTACACTGTCAGTATTTTTATTTAACAAAGAGTACAAAGAAACTTCATTTAATATTAATTAGAAACATATTATGCATTAATTTTATTTTTACCTGCAATAGGAAATGAGTAATCAGTTTTTCGTTGATTCTGAAAAATCATCTTTTTTGAGTTACGACACTATTGTATTATTAGTGCGATATCCTCAGTGTCGAGTGATACTGATGAGTAGGTAGATTGAGACCTCAGTGCCGTTTGATGGTTCTTGTATTTATACAGAACACGATACTGGTACGTCACGAGTGAGGGAAGTATGCAGATTAAGACCCGAACTCGAACGGAACCGTATAAATCTTGAAAATGGGTGCGAAAACGTCGAGCATTAAATTTTCAACGCAGTTTTTAACATTTTAAAGATTTAATCTCAATAGAGCAAAAATAAGATAAAATACTGACCTGTTATATGAGTAAGGGCAGCACTGGTCGTAGCTACAACCGGGGCTTGATGTTTCAATGAGACTACATCACAGAGATGGGTGAATTCAGGTGCGCTTGCTATCGAAACGATCTGGCTTGCAGAAGGCCTGTCCTTCGGTTGTTGGGACCAACACAGTACCATTAGATCCAAAAAGTAGCTGGGATACAAAGTTTCCTAAACATAAACAACAATCATTATATGATAATAGTACGAAGAGACGATATAAACTAACCCTGTAAGTCAAAGCTGGCCTACCGCCTTCCAGAATGCACTCCTTGACTGACTCGTGACCTTCGAACGGTTGATGTAAAGTTAGAAGCTCGTACACAAACATGCCGAAGGAAAAACAGTCCACTTTTTCAGTATATTCTTCTTCCCCGTTGTATCTCATGATTTCGGGTGCCATGAAGCCTTCGGTGCCTCCAAATCCCTTAGTACCAGAAGGTAACGTCAGTCTACTAATACCTAAAATAAATAATGTTATATCTTTGGTTATAATATGACCCCCAACTATTTTCTTATCCATCAATTTGTTCCTTAACACAAAGCTAAAAAGTGCCTTACTCCAGATACCCTTTAAGTGTTGTGGCTCAAAAAATAGCTGAAGTAGAGGACGAACTTTGATGTGAATCTATTATGTATATTTACCATAATCTGCAACTTTAATGTGAACAGGATGTTCCGGGTGGTCTACAAAAGGCGGAGGCATCTCCCAAACCAACACATTCTCCGATTTTAGGTCCCTGTATATGATATGTTGTCTATGCAGGTACTCGATAGCTTTGGCTACCTAAAATAATCGATTAACGTTACTAGTTCGGTCCAAAAGTCCAAAAACTCACTTGCAAAATGATGGCTTGAAGAGTGTAAGGTCCTACTTTAGCTCCTGATCTTCTATAATGCCTTAGCACCAGATCTAAAGCTCCTTGAGGAGCCAAATCAAGTACCAGAGCAAGAGGACTGGTGCATACTCCCACAAAAGGTACTATGTTTGGATGTTTAAGAGATAAGAGAATGTTTAACTCCTGTCTAGCCGTACAATACGCTTTACAGGCGTACTGTAAAGGATCTCTGTCCCATTTGCCCTGAGCAGCCTGCAACAAAGTTTTGGGCACATTTAAAAACATAAATATGAGATGTGCTTGCTTTAGATTAACTTTTCATTTGTCACAAACAATAAATTATTATTAACAAATCAACAATATAAGAAAAAGTCAAAACATTTCAATATTTAAATTGCTGTATTGCAAAATTACGTATAATATTACCTTAAAGGCTATAACTGCGGATTGCCGAGCATTGGGGCCGGGTTGAACAGGCTGTAGCATCTTCATAGCCACGTCCATCGTTTTATTGGACCCTCTTATCTTACATGAACCTTTGAAGACGAAACCAAAAGCTCCGCGTCCCAATAATCTACCTTTCTTAATATTTTCGGGTCTAATGATGTACCTCTCGCCCAAATCCATAAAAATCTACAATAAACTCAACTAAAGTCACTAAATAGAATGTATAAAGATGACTTACCGTATCTCCGGCAATTCTTACTAACGAGCAATCACCGTGAGTGGGACAAACGACTGTTTTGCTGCCGTACGCTTCCAGGATACATTCTTCTACCATCCATGAGTATATCACGGGTTTATCTTCTTCTTGTTGGACACCAGGATGGCCTTCCACTGACGGTATTCGACTGGAGCTCGCTGAATCTGGTCCAACGCCACTATCACATTCGGAAGTATATGATTCTTGGGATTTTCGGATCCTGTGCAAATCGTGGTGGCCTAAAATAAGAACAATTGATAATCAGAAAAGTTCGTTGTTTATTCAAGTAATTAAATTGTATGCATTGGTCCTTCCAATCGGATATTGATATCTATTCGCAGGAAATATGATCGATGTTTTTTATACCATAAATTGATTAATATGGTATAATGGTATTATACAAAGAATATTCACTTCCTCATTCACGGTTCAGTCTTTGTTAACGTTTAGTTAATATTCAAATAATAAATACATTACCTGAATGTTCATTTTCCTGTTGAAGCGGCTCTAATAGGTGGCTACTGGAGGGAGGAAAATCATGCAAGTTATGTTCGTTGTCGGTGGACGCACTTAAACAACTAGGGCATGGAATAAGGCGCGTTATCAGGAACTTCCCTTCGGAAGTGTGAACAAATCTGGTACCGAGAGTGGGATACCTACAAAAGTGGAGATTTTTCTATATAAATGTTGCAAACTTTGTGTAAATATGCATAAATGGGCGTTAGTCATTGAGCACTTTATTAAAGCTGTATAAAGGTGTCAAATATTTCGTCTGACAGGATGAAGTTATTGCCAAAACAGCTTCTAAGTGTGGTTTAGCATGATTCTGCATAGCATGCATTTTTAGCATGGTTCTGATTAATATTCGTTCTATAAGATATAAAACAGATGAATTACATGAACAGAGTATTCACATCATGAACAAACGAAAACCAAAATAAACGTTTTGTGCCAAAAATATTTTTATTGGATTATCTATATTGATAATCTAAAGAAGCTGGGGGTGTCAACTCCTATAATGTGCCCAAATGTATGAAACATTAACGAGGAATGGTGTTAAAAATATTTATACTTGGTTATAATGTGAATAATTACAGAATAATGGTTATATAAAGAAAGTAGGAGGCACTTTCAGCATACAGTGTAGCATTTTAAATTTGATTGATTCTTTGAAGTATATTTAAAGTCGCCTCGTATATGAAATCGTCTTAATAAAACGAAGAATGTTTTCTGTTTTTTAGTTCGTATCTTTCGAAAAGTGTTTTCAATCATTCTAACGTCGTAGAGTAATAAATCCATTTAATTGTTGTTTATTTTACTGCGGCGATTTCTTTTCATGTAAATGCGTTTCAAAGGATATCTACGTCGTTCGTTGGTTTTGCTATTTCAGCAGTTCGTTGATTTTCAAGTTAAGCGAACAAATTTTTAATTTCGTCACTATCGGTGGAGCCGCTGTCAAGGGCAGTTGGTTTCGTTTGTTTAGTCCGAATTTTCATCAAATTCGTAATGTTTTTTTTTGTTATTAGTTTTTTTCATCAGAAGTATTGAAGTTTGGTAGCATGTGTAGTTACAATTTGAGGTTGGTTTATGATATTGACGGAAAAGTGCTTGGGTGGTATTCTTCAAGGAACCGGCAAATTTATATGTGGAGAAGTGAATATTATACTCAAATGTAATGTGTCAGTTTTTGTCTGAGTTAATCACCGATTTGGGTCGTGCTGTGTTTTGAAGAGCTTTGTGTTTTGAGAAGTTTTGAAAAGCCAAGCTTTGAAGATTGCAGTTTAATTAACCCGAAGTCCGATGGTCCAGTGCCCAGCTTTCATCGTATATTTGTTGTCCCTGGTCATTCCAGACCATTTTGCAGCATGTGAGAAGCATTTGTTTGTTTTGCAGTGTTTTTGAGTAAAGTTCCAGCCCCAAAATTTTAAAGGAGATATAATATTCAGTGATATCAGGTACTCTTTTTTTTCGTAAACATTTTTTAAAGTAAAAATAGACAGTTTTCATCGATAATTGCTTTCATGACAAGTTACAAAAATTGTAATAAATAAAATTATAAATATTAGGGATTGGTTAACTGTCATATTAATTATTCTTATAGTTTTAAAAATTTAATCTTGACATATGACAGTTAGCATTATTGTCTTCGGATATTTGGTACATACATAACCATAAACTTTGAATTTGTTTTGTTTTTAAAAAGGTTAACCTCAGTAAGTAAGCTCCATTTAAAAATATGATAATAAATATTTAAATAGTTACCGCTACAAAATGTCGCGCAAATAGGGTCCCCAACGCCATAGAGTTGTAAACCGAAAGCGCCATTGTAAGTCGTTTTTTTTTTTGTATTTTGTTAGTATTATTTGTATTTGTAACTGTTTGTGGTACACATAATTAAAGGTTAAATTTTATTTTCTTAACTTTTTATTTATTTTTTTTAAGCTAACCCTTTTTGAGTTTATTTGAAAAAGATATGTTTTGATTTGTTTTCTAATTATTTCCCTAGTTACAACTAGTGGTTGTAATAGGCATAAATAGGCACCTCAAGTGGCGCCCTATATTAAATTCCTTGAGGTGTTTCTTGTTTAATTTTTATTTTGTTTATCCCAAGAGCCCTTTATTTCATTTTTTTGTAGTTGCCCCATTCCAATGCCCTTATCTTTTACTTATCCACGACCCCAGCTCTCCTACGAAACCCTGAGTGTCCGTTCGCATCAGTAGCGATTATTTTGCTTGCCCTATCTCCACCCCCAATAGTTTCTTCCCCAATTTTCTACCTTATATTAATGCCCTGTGGTAGGCAAAATATTATCGTTACAACAGAAAGCCCAAAGTTGGACATCAAGAAGTGTAACCTCCCTTTTATACTGTTGACGTAAAAGTTGAAACAGTGTTTACACTTTAAATTTTAATGATTTCAACATAAACACTGGCCACAAACGAATTGAATAAAATACAAACAATTTTAAGTGAATTTCTTACCAATCTTCTAGAAGAATATCGATATGATCCACAGTTAAAGCTAAAAGTTGGGCAGTGCATTCGGTGGAAGGTTCTATCACCAGTTCGTCTTTAATCTTATAATCGTCAATGTGACAGTTCTCGTTGAATAACGGTTGAACAACCAAAGATTCAACTGGAAAGTGTATCTCCAAAATGGAACAGTTCTGGAAGTCGATTTCAGACCACACACCTTCTTGTTTCAGTCGAAACCTGTCAAAAATAATTAAACATGACATATACAAGTATTATCTTGACAAATAAACAATAAATAATATGTACCACTTACTTTAATTGTCTATAGTAAGCAGCAGAGTTGTGCAACACTTCTTTCATCCGAAACAGAGTGATATCTCCATACTTTAACTGCAATCCAGTCTGCCAGAGCACCCATTCGGCTTTCAGGTCCAAAACTTTGGCTAGCTGTGCATCTTGAGCCGCATCCTTCGGCAATATGAAGAAAGATCTGATTATGTCTATTATGGTATCGTCGGCTAGAATGCGGGAGATCAGCCGCGACCAAAAACCCGAGGGAAAGTACGACATTAGGAGTAAACGGGTCATGGATTTGTCTGACGCTTTCGATTTTAGTTGGTACTGGACTTCTTCTGGTGGAATAACTAAAAACAAGGAATTTAATATGCTAAAAACTTGATTATACATGGCGCAATCAGTAGGATACTACAAAAATTTTTATAAGATCGATTAAGATGACATTAATCTTACCATTTTTTGGCGGGCGAAGAAGTTCCAGATGGCAAGCTCATCTCAAACGTTCTCTGTACACTGGGATCTCTGTATAAAACCGATTTTGGCGACACGCTGATCTTTTTGTTTCTTACTGCCCAACCTCTTGACCTTAGGGGCACTTTAACCTTAACCATTGGATGGAACTGTCCTGGATAAATCTGAGCCATGATAATATCTTCTTCAGAAGGCAACAAAGACGGTATTAGAAGTGTTCTGGAGTCCCAGGTCAATGCTACTTCGAATTTATTTAGTAAATTTACGATGTACCCTTGAAAAATTTAAATATTTAAAATTTTCTGTTAAAAGATAGGAATTTGGAGTGTGCTCACCTCTCGTATCCATTGGTCCGATGTTACTAGCTTTGAAGATGTGTTTCAGGTCGTCCAATTTCATCACGCCTGTACGTGCAAACGGATTGATTTCTCGTATAGTAACGACATGGGCCAGCATATCGCACAACCATTGAGGATCCAAGAAATACAGATCTTTAAGCGTGGCATCGTCGTAATGGAGTAAAAACCCTAAATAGACACAAACAGACTATTGTTATACGTTTAGCAATGTTAATAATACGATATTCTGCTAAAATTCGTTCGTCTATAGTCATTTTTCCAAACAAAGGATCATTCAGGAGGCCATTAGAATCGAAATAAATCCCGAGTGCCTCAACAAAAAAGACAAACACACCAAGTAACCTTGAGCATGAAGAATTTATTATTTCACAAGAAAATTGGCAAATATGAGAGCTCAAAATTCTCTTCAGCTGTCACTTAAGTCTTCTTGTGAAATTTACCACTTTAAGAAACTCTTTTTCATACGAATCAGGTCACCCATTTTTCATTTCTTGCTCCAATAAGTCTTTATATCCATTTTTTCAAACAAAGAGGCCGTAGGATTCGAAATTCATCCTGAGTGTCTCAACAAAAGACACAACGACATCCGGTAACCCTGAACATTGAGAATGTTACTAATTCACAAGAAAACTGGCAAATATGAGAGCTAAAAATCCTTTTCAGCTATCACTCAAGTCTTCTTCTAAAATGAACCACGTTTTTGAACCACCATTTGTATCAGGTCACCCATGTCTGATTTCTTGGTCTACTAAGTCACTTTACCCATTTTTTCAAAGAGGCCATTGGAATCGAAATACATCCTAAGTGTCTCAACAAAAGATACAACGACATGCGATAATCTTGAACAGGGAGAATTTCACTAATTCACAAAAAAACTGCCAACTATGACAGTTCAAAATCATCTGCCTACGTTAATTAACCAAGGAGATTCAGGTGTTAGTATAAATAGACTGATGGACTCACCGTTTTCATGTAAAAATAGCGTGGCCTGGTGTAACTCGGACCAATCTCTGAAGGTCTTATTGTACCTCTGAAGCATTTCGGTGGTCACCAAGTTTCTGTACTGTTCGGCGGTCAGTACCGGATCCAAACCGTTCACTTTCCTTTCTGCCGCAATGTAGTTTATAACATCTTCAAGCGCCAAATACGTAGCAGGAACTTTTTGTTCCAGAAGCAATTCTTTACTACCAGGTGGCCTCAAACTAAAAACCTAGAAGAGATAAAAAAATTAACAGGGAATTGTATGGTATGAAATTTGAAGGGATCCAAAATACTCACAGTGTCATATATTAAATTGCACAACAACTTTATATTATGCCTAGTTTTACAGCTGATTTCTATGGTGTCTAAAACTCTAGGCAAGCCGCACTTCTCGGCATCAACAACGTTGATAAATCGATCCCTGATGATCTGTTGGTACTCTTCGGAGATGTTCGGGTTGAATTCTTGAATGACGTCATAGTGAGTGCCGACTATTATAACCGGCGAGTTTGGAGCGCGAGCTTGGATGTTGACCAACCATTGGAGGATTTCGTTTATGCCTCGATGCCCGTCTGTTATCCTCCAAACTACCAGATATAGGCTGCGCTTTGATAGAAAGTATTGGTGAGTGGCATAGTATCTAAAGTAGAGACAAAAAACACGATCGGACATACAATAGGAAGACAGATTTGTAGTAAACTTACTCTTTTGTCCTCCGAAGTCCCACGTTCTGAACACTACTGGTCCGTGCGAGGATTGCAGCCTCACTTTTTTCTCGTAGACCCAATCACCGATATCAACTCCTACAGTGGACATGTTGGAACCTCTCGATGTTTTTACATTTATATTTTTGTTGCCCATACGTTTCGCCCAGTGCTACAAACAAAATATTAAATCGCACACCATTATAAAACGTATAAAAGTGCAGTTGTTGACGATATTTTTTATGCAATCCTTTAAGTTCATTATTTATTTGCGAAAAATAGAATATCAACTAGTCTACAGCAAAAAACTATCTAAAATAGAATGTTATATTCATTGTAACGTTCTGTATAACCTTGGATGAATACTATTGTAATAGAATAGAATCAGTTGATTTATGAATTCAAGTAAAAATACAATAGATGTGTTCCGTTTCGCATCTATGTTTATTTTAAACTTATTTGTCACAGTAATAATATATCCATTTTTATCTCTATTCAAACATACGCGCCACTGACTTTATATTATATTATATACAGAACAAAATAAACCATTAATTGAACCGATGATTTCTGAAAGGGCTTAAGTGCTATTTCAGCCATTTTTCTTTTAATATGCGAAATTAATTATTGACCCAATACCTGAACAGTATTATAAGTTTCAAGCCCATTAGTGAAAGACTTTGAAATATTAGAATCAAAGGAAAACTGTATAATATGTCAATTATATCCGCACATGCTCCGACAGAAGATAAAGACGAACATATTAAAGATTACTTCTATGAACAACTCGAAAGAACATTGAGAAAATCCCCAAACAAGACATGCAGATAATCTGTGGAGACTTCAACGCAAAAATTGGCAAAAAAACCTAACCTAAGACCGACAATAGGACAACACAGCCTCAAACGACAATGTACAAAGGCTCCAACATAAAAATATTCATAAACAGACTTGGGTCTCTAATGACCACTCCACGAGGAACCAAATTGACCACGTAATTATCGATGCTAGACATGGAAGTAATGTGCTGGATGTAAGAAGCCTCAGGGAAGTAGATGGAGATACAGACTATCACCTAGTAAGAGCAAAAAGCTGGTTGAGAATATCTTCAGAGAAACCTAAGGTCAACGAAGCATTGGAACATCGAGAAAATGCAAAATGAGAAAATCCGAGAAAATTACAAACAATAAATTAAACATTTAGAATGATGTCATAACGCTGTGGCAACAAATGGGAAAATCAATTACGTGAGTCAGCAGAACTAATAATAGGAAAAGAAAAAAGCAGGAAAACAGGAACTGGTTTGATAGATAATGTCAAGAAAAACTACACGACAGACAGATAAAGCGAAACATTATGCTTTATAAGAAACAAGAAAATTAATTAGAGAGAAAAAAAAGAAGTACAAACAACAGAAATATGAAGAAATGGAAAGGAAAAGGCAACAGTCAAATAGTCGAGCATTTTACAAATCAGTGTCAAACGAAAAGAAAGGCTTCAGACCTAGCTGCATGTCTGTACTCAGAAAAAATGATGAATTAATAATAAATGAAAAAGAACTGCTCCAAACATGGCAAGAATATTTCAAGACTTTACTAAACATACATCAAGAGGAGTAACATGGAGAAAATATATATTTTGGGGTCGACCTACCAAGACGTACGGTAGATGAAGAACGGAAAAGCTTAAGGCTCTGACAATATACTGGCTGAATTCCTTAAGTACGGAAGAAAAACTCTAAATATACAAATACACAAACTAATAACACGCATATGGAACGAAGAGAAAATACCAACAAAAATTAAACACCTTTAACGGAACCATACTAATGAAAAAAAAAAAGAATAAAAAGTTTAAAATATCTAGAGGTTAAAAAATAATCAACATTTTCTGTTTTTCCCAAAACTTAAAAAGATCGTTTAGTCCCATTAAGAAATAATCGATTCAATTATAATTTCAATATTAAAAATGGTAATTACTTACATTAGTAAGGATAGTCGGATTAGTCTGAAATTTGGACAGTGGATTATGTTTTATTTTTTATTCACTTTTCAATCTATACATTTTTTTACGCTGAGCTATAGTTTTTCTGTAATTCGCATTTAAAAAACTGATATTTTGACATAAATTTCAAGATGCCGCCGCCATTACAGCTGCTGTCAATGACGTGCGTATGCGTAGTGCATACTTCTTGTTCCAATGTTGCCACACTTTTCAAATATATTGTTTATTGTGAAAATATTAATTCTCAAATACAATCATAAAGGAATAAAGATATTGAGTATTATTTCCATTTTCTGTTACTAAGGGATACATATAACTGTATTTCATTTGTTATTAACTTATGTTATTACGTATAAATTATAGCTTATTTCGTTTTATGTTGTATTTAGTTGGATGCATTAGTTATCAACTTCTTTATTAGTTTAAATTGTTAGATGATATGAGTAGATTAGGTTTTAATTTGTTTACTAAAAGTACGAATAAAATGGTGCATATTATATTATGTCTATACAGCACTGGTTCCGTTTAAAACATGGCTGATTCCGTCTGCGCAAACGAGATTCGCGTACTTATTTTTTCAAACAGAGTTGGCATTCTGATTGTTTATTATTCTGTGAAGTTTTAGATGTGATTGGAGTAGTTTGGATTAGGTTTTATTTTGTTATTTAATACTCAATATCGAGTTTTACAAAAACACTAATTCTGAAATACGCAAAAAACAATATTAAATCATATGTGGTACACTTTTAAAAACAATATTAACTCATATATAGTATACTGTTATAAAAACTTAAATTCAATATATTTACTCTGCAAAAAAAACAATATTAAGTCATATATGGAGTAAATTTTTATTAAAATTTAAATTCAATATATTTACTCCGAAAAAAACAAATGTGCAATGTGGCAACATTGAACCTGAGTGGAATATTTTATATTGTGCGCAAACGCGCTTGACTTGTTTTTCCAAATAAATGAATTTTTGCCATTTTATAATATTTTATATTTTTGGATAATTTAACAGAGGAAATGATTGGTATTCACAATTGATTTATAAATTTTATATAACTATTACGGCTGTTTCATATTTCGATAACATTTTTCTCTTTCTAATTTTTTGATTTTGTACACTTTTTATGAAACTTTTTTCAATTTTTTTACTGTTATTCACTTTTTTGTATGTTTCCGTACACGTAAACATGAAAATTTTGCCTTTTTTCTATTTTTCAGGCTAAGTCCCCGAAAAATTCGCATTTTTAGGGACCTTACTAATGTGAAACAATTACAAAAATAAAAAAGTCCTATTTTGTTTTCGAGCAGTGTATAATAAAATATGACAACGCATGTCACGATAACCGATAAAAACGCAACTCTAACCATCTTATGTAACATAACCTTCAAAAAATTTAAAAACAACACGATCAGCTGACGTATTTATCTTGTTTTAAAAACAATAAGAAGATTCTAACCTCTGGTCGTCGCCTCGTGACTCCCTCCTGCCTTAATTGTTCCAATAAACTTGTCTTTCCAATGCCCTGCACGCCGACAATCATCAATTTCATCCTGGCGTAGGGTTTGGCGTCTTCCAAAACGGACTTGAGGTAGCCGATAATGTCCATCGTTTTGTATTTTTTACTTTCTATCATAGACTTTAGCGGATCTTGAAGGTTGGTGCCGCGCGTGTTGAGGTTCCACAGCCGAGATAGCAAGCCCATCTGTGGTGGGAGTTCGTTTATGTCTATAAATAGATTTGTGTGACTAGGTGAGGTAATTACCACGTGCGTTTGTTATTATTTACATTTAAAATCGAAGATATAAATCTAAAGTGTTGATAAATTGATTATTATAGATAAATAATAGTTGATATTTTTAATCATATCTTATTTTAATCTGAAATAAACAGGTGCACTGACCTTTGATTGTTTTATTTACAAATTATTTATAAGAAACACCTAAAAATGTTCCACAATGATCATGAAGTATTTTTAATGTAGATATTTAGCAACTTATACAGGGTGTTCAATTAAATCGGCACTATATGGCAAACTTATTGAGTTTTACGAAAAAAGGTATTTAAAAGGCTTTATATAAAGTTCTGAATAATCAGATGATTTTCACATTTGGTCCCATTGAAGATAGCTTCAAATGGGTTTGACAGAATGAAATATTGGTGTTTCGCAGTGTTGAAATTTACATTACAAATGAAACATACACAATTAAAAGCAATAAGATATTTAAAAACTAATATTTAAAGATTATGAGAAAAAAAGAAAAAGTAAATAGTTTTAAAACAGTTTTTACCAGCAAATAGTAAAATGTCAGTACAAATAATAAAATTTAAAAGGCATCTGTTACAATCTGGCAGCTGGTGGTTTGAGGGTTCTGACTCTATTGCCAAATCTATCCGCTAACCTATCAAAAGGCAATTGCCCAAAAAATTTTCTAATAATTTATTACAACTAATATCAAACGACACAAATATTACTTCATTAATATTTTATATAAGGTATAAAATTGCAAAATCCATAAAATAATATGATAAAAATGTACCTTTTAAAAGCTTTATCTCTTTGTATTTGAAGCATATAACATATACATTTTAAGAACATGGCAACACTGCCAACGCAATATTTCGTTCTGTGAAACTTAATTGACAGCTTACTTGAGGCTATCTTCAATGGGACCAAATGTGAAAATCGTCCGAATAATCTAAAAGCAATTTCTGTATTAAATGAAACAACAAAGGCATAGGTCAACTATTAAGAGAATCAGACAGAAATAATCTTGGGAAAAGCTGATTGGACAATGGAAATAAGAAATTGTTCATATGATACATAAAAGATTTGACATTTTATCAAATAGACAAAAGCATATATTAAGATAGGGAAAAAAATGGGAGAACTATCAAGGAATCAGTGATGGATCAGTAATGGCATCTATGGTAGATGGAAAATGGAAAAAAGGAAGATGTGGCAAAATATTGGAGATGGACTTTCTTTTAAATGAGGGCCAAAAATAGAGCAGATATTTAACATTTATCGATCGACAGAAGCTATATGACTCAATAACAAGCACTAAAGTATGTGCCACACTTTGTTCAAGATATTCTTTGAAAATGCTCTGAAAGCTTGCAACAGAAAGTGAAACTATACCACTATGGTAGTAGTGGCCTGTTTGTGCCACTGCATTCATTAGTATTTAGGTCTAAATAAACTACTGTACCTATTAATTTTGATTTAATAACTTGTTTTTATTTTCTAATCATATTTCTCAATTAATTCTTTTAATTTACACTCATATTAAAGTTGTACACAAAAATTTTTATAAAGATTTAAAATTAACAAAAAACTTACCCAGATTACCGCTTATGTTCAAAACTGAGAGGTTGTTTAGGTCGTTAATATTTGGTGGGATCTCCTTCAAATTGTTATTACTAATATCTAGCATAGAGAGATTTGGAAACATCAACCGAGATTTGCCAATTTGGGAGCCCTATAAAGGAAACATGATGTGTTACTGACAAATAATCGTTGAACACTTTAATTTATGGACAGCTTGAAATTGTTACTGCTGTTTGTAAGGCTACACAAGGTTCTGTTATATTCCAGTGTTTACTTTTACCTTAATAGTTGTTACAAAAGAAATGGTTACATTGATGAGTTGGGATTCACTTATTAATACACCTATTGAGTAGGTACTCACTCAATGTTTACGAATAGAAATTTCATCTGAAGAGCCCAAAATATATTTTAAACAGGAAAAATGATAAAAAGCATCTTACCAATAAGCAGCAGCAGCAAAATCATAGACAAGCCTTTCATAAGTGAAAGGATCATTGTCAAGACATTAAATATGAATATGTTGATTTATACATAAGGTAAAATGTAACACATGATGAAGAATGTAAGATAATTGTAATATAATTAAGAAACCTCTATGAACAATCAGTTTACAAGAATCATCTGGAGCTTTGATTGAATTATATGAATAATAATAAAATTGTGGAGTTAATGAAGCCATTTAGGAATTTTTTCAAAATAAAAATACCTAAAATATCTTCACATTACATAAATTCTCATATTTGGTAATCATTTTTGTACAGAAAATCCCTTTATGTGCAAACAGTAACAAATACACTACCTTATATTGTATTTGAAGACTTACCCGTTCAAGATCTTCATCGTCAGTGCTGCTAATATCACCATCATCATCTGTGGCTAGCTGTATCCTAGTCAGCTGATTGTCAGCTAGTATTAGGGTCCTCAAGTTGTCTAACCTCAGATGCCTTCTATGAGAACATACAGAATGTAATACACTGTGTCTTAGCGATCGACCTGGTTGTCTTCGTACTAAAATAAACAACATTTCCAAGAATAACACATAAAATAAAGGTGGTAGGTAAACATAGGTATTGGAGAAGACTACCAAAGAAGGAAATATGGTGCAGCAAAGGTTGAATATATAAGTAAAAAACAAAATCAATTGAATTTATACACACATTGAATAAGAACGATTGTAAAAAAATGAAATAAGAATTCCATTAAACAAAAGTAGACTACCTAATTGACTAGATTTTCTTAATGTATTCTTTGCTCCAATAAAAACTTTCTAGAGTATGATTGTATCATATTTTTGTCTCTTTTGCTTGACATAATATTATTTATAACAATCTAACCTTAAAGTACTTACTAACAATATCTGGTGTCTTTCCCCTAAAAGCAGTAGTAGTCATGTAGCATGCCAAATTGGCCAACTCCATATTATCCTGGGCCTCAATTTGAGGCAAACTAGGCCACACAGTTATCTGGTTATGGCTTAGGTCGAGTTGTTTGAGCGAACTTGGGTAACTAGTGATATGTGACATTGATCTCAGTGAGTTAAACGCCATGTTGAGCCTAGTGAGGTTCACCGCCAAGCAAGGAATGACCACGGGAATGCTGGTGAAGAGATTGTGAGCCAGGTTGAGTGAAGACAGTTGGGAGGAGGCTTCAGTGGATGTATCGTCATTGTGGAGGATCTGTTCTGTTACTTCTACACTTTTGTTCCAAATGTGATGCTTTACCAAGTCCATATGACTGGAAAATACAAATAGAATATCATCTTGGGAAATAAGGAAAGGATAATATGACTGTAAAATAAAGATAGAATATTATGTTGGAAGATGAAAAGAGACTTAAAGTAGTCACTCCAAATGTTTTTATTTTCACTGTGCATTGTTGAATTGCACTGTAGAAAACTTACTTATTATCCAGCAATTATAAAAACTACTATTAAGATGCTTTAAGGAAGATTTTAACAAAATTTAAAAGGTATTAAGTGAAACATGTATTTTGTTGAAAAATAATGTAAGATGTAGCCCCCTTTGATAAAAGAAGAAGAGAAGGGTAAAATAAAACGAGTAAAAACAAGTGTTTGAATGGGGAAGAATGACATGTTATAATAAAATGACATTAATAAAACCTTGTAAAAAAATGTGCATTAAAATAGTAAAACAACGATTTTACTAGTGTGAAATAATTTTATTTTTATACAAACATTTATTTATTACTAAACAAATCACAAACATAATCACTTACACTTGAATCACAAATTATAATAAATATTTCATCTTATTCTATAACTGCCATTATTAATATGAACTCCAAATTTAATTATCAATATTATCTGGAATATTTTCTGTTTGGAAACCATCAATATCTTTCAGTATACCTTCTATTTCCATCCGGGAAACTTTTGTTTTCCTCATTTCTAAATGTATTTGCCTCAGTCTATCTTGTAATATTTTCAAACTGTCAGTGTAAGTACGAATTGTTGAAATAAAGTTTGCTTCAATTATTCCATTCTGTTTAGATTTATCTCGAGCCTCGTTAGGCATGTTAAATTATAAATTAAAACTTGTAAATATCTCAAGAAAGTTTAAATGTGTACATTATATACACAACAATACACAATTAAATTTTGTATCTGTCAATGTCAGACAAATTGACAGTTGTATCACGAAACAATGAACAATTTACACACTCATGATGTACATACTGGCTGGATTAAAATAAAAAATATTATTGTAAAGAAAATTGTAATTAATGTTAATAATAAAATTTTTTGTTTAATTTCCATTATAAATTAATAAATTACGGTAATTAAGCTTCAGTGAATTTGTTAGTGACGTCACAACTGTCAAACGAATTTATAAGAAAAAATCAATTACTACTTACACGTAAGATCTCTCCTTCTTTCTGTATCTTACTGCTTGCACTCCATCGTCACTCAAATTCAATTTTGTTTCGATATCGAAATCTGATAATTCAGATTCTGAATCTTGCTCTGCGTGGCTAGATAATTGGCTGTCGCTGGAACTTACGCTCATCTTATCTAGATCTTCTTTACTCTGGAAATAAATCATTTATTGATTATAACAATTAGAGTAGGTTGTGGAATTACATTTAAATGACTCTGATTGGCCACATTTCCACCAAACGCCAGTAAATGAGATTTATGATTTTTAAATGTCAATATAACATTTTTATTAAGAAAGTTGTTTATTATATCACAGAATGTAGGAGATTTGTGCACAGAATACACCAGTTGGTGGTGTATTCTATGATAATATTATTCTGTGGAAGTGGCTAAAATTCCAACACACTGTTTGTGTTCCTCTTCTTTTAGTAAAAGCGACAAAAAGAATTGGAAGTGCGAAGAGTCTCACAAAATTGACAAAAAAAAAGCTTTAGAAACATCGAACAATATTAAAAGCGTAGAAAAAGCGCCAATATCACCGAAAAAGCTTTGGAAATGCTTAAAATAATGTCAAAAGCTTAAAAGCATCCGAAAAGCGTCGAAAAAAGTTTCTACAATAAAGAAAAAATGTCAAAATCATTAGAAAACCCTTCAAAATCGTTGGAAAAGCGTCTAAACCTAAATGGTATGGACATTAAAGAACTAGAAAAAACGTCAAAAGCAAAAAAACGTTGAAAAAGCATAGTAGAAGACTTTAAAAATGAAATGAAGGGTAAAAAAGCTCTAAAAGCGATGTAACAAAAAATTCCAATCAACAAAAAGTAACTATTGACCATTTAAACCAAAAATCATAAGTTCTTTGAAAGTAGATTCAGTAAAAGTTCTATTCTTACCTCTAGAGGGCTAGACGGTAGCTCCCGGATCAAATTAAAAGCGGCGTTCATCTCCTTCAGCTTCGGCGCTACCCACATTTCGTAGGGCAGTTGTTGTAACTTATTGTTCGATATGACTAGAGTGACTAATGAGGGCAGTTTGAATATTGCTTCCGGTATGTGATCCAGTCTGTTGTCCTGCAGGTACAGCTCTTCCAGCACTGGGCAGGAGTACTTTTGGTCCGAAGGGTTCGAATGCTTTCGCTTGTGTCCCTTCTTCGTCGGTGATGATACGGGAATGGGCAGTTTTTCGATTTTGTTTTGAGCCAGACTCAGGAATCTACAAAAAAATTGTCACCAAAAGATATTTAAACAAAATTGTCACCAAATGATATGAACATAAACATTATCTGATATAGCGTGAGGTCCTTTAAAGCTTTCAAGAATTTATCAGATTTAAACATACGTAAACGCATCTGGTAGAAAGCATAGCATATACCAAAACAACATTTCCACTATTTAGCCTCATAACATTCATAGAATTGGCGTTAACGGTGTTTTTGGATCTTAAGTATAATGACATTCAGTCGAAAAAATTAACAAAAAAGGCTTAAAACGTAAGAGAAAGAAAGGGGAGAATTTGTAGAAAATTGTGAAAAAGTGTAAGAAAGGGGGGAAAGTGAAAAAAAGGAGGGGCAGTTTTTTTGGGTTAGATTGCTACGTTGGGTTAGACAGTTAGGTTGGGTTAGAGAGCTACATAGGTTAGGTTAGACAGGTAGGATGGTGTAAAAAAAGGGGAAAAGATCTATAAAATAAGTGGAAATGTGGGGAAAAGTGTAAAAATCGGAAAAATGTGTAGAAAAGTTGTGTAAAATGTGTACTAATGGGGACAAAGTCTAAAAAAGTTGGACCAAATATGTAAAAAATAGTGAAAAAGTGTAAAAAATTGGGGAAAAATGTAAAAATTGCGAAAATGCCTAAAATAGGTAGAAGAAAATGTCAATAATTATGAAAATTAGGAAAAAAGTGTTGCAAGGTGATAAAATCTGTAAAAATGAAAGGATATATCAAAAAGGTGAGGAAAATATGTAAAAAATATTGAAAAGTAGTACAACAGTTTCGAAAAAGTGTGGGATATATTTATGATTGAAAAATTGTAGAAAAGTCTTTAAAATACTTAGAAATTTCAGAAAAAAAATTAAAAATGTGTGGAAAACAAGTCAACAAGAGGGGTAAATATGTAAAAATGGTGAGAAAATATGCAAAAGGGGGGAAACGGTGTGTAAAATTTGGAAAAATTTTATGGAAGGAAATATACTGTAGAAAGTTGTATACAAATTGGAACATTATTGATTTTTACATGTAAAAGTGTTTAAAAAAGTGGACAGTTAGGTTAGGTTAGAGAGCTACATAGGTTGGTTTAGACTGCTAGGTTGGGTTAGACAGGTAGGATGGTGTCAAAAAGGGGAAAAGATGTAAAAAATAAGTGCAGAAATAATGTGCAGAAAACTGTGAAAATCGGAAAAATTTGTAGAATAGTTAAGCAAAACGTAAATAATTGTGGAAACCTGTAAAAATGAGAAGGGGCAATTTAAAAATGTGATAAAATGTGTATAATGGGAAAATGAAAAAGTTGTTTGAAATGAAGTACTATGAAGAGAAAATGGAAAATAATGGAAAAATAATGTGATTGTAAAAAAAGGGCGTTTAAAAAATGAAAATGTGTATGGGAAAAGTGTAAAAATGTGAAAAGTGAAAAAATTAGGGAAATGTAAAAATGGAGAAAATGCGTAAACTAAATTAAGGAAAATGTCATAGGTATGAAAAATTACGAAAAAAAAGTTGCAAAGTGATAAAATCTGTAAAAATGAAAAAATATATAAAAGAAAGGTGAGGAAAATATGTAAAAAATAATGAAAAGTGGTATACGATTGGGAAAAATTGTGGGAATCATGAACAATTGGAAAATTGTAGAAAAGTTTTTAAAATACGTAGAAATTTTAGAAAAAGTTAAAAACGTGTGGAAAACATGTCAACACGTGGGGTAAATATGTAAAAAATATGCAAATATGCAAAAAGGGGACAACAGTTTGTAATTTTTGGAAACATTTTATGGAAGTAAAGTATACTGTAGAAAGTTGTATACAAATTGGAAAAATAATTGATTTTTATGTAAAAGTGTTTTAAAAAATGGAAAAATCAGTGTTTTGGTGGAGAAATGTATGTCAAATTAAATTAAAAGCGTGATAAATAAGTAAAAAGTACAGAAAACTGTGCCAAATTGATAAAAAAAATGTGGTATTATGTGGCAATTAGTAAAAAAATCTTGTAGAAATGTGTAAACTATTTAAAATGAGTGAAAGTATGTTTAAAATTGTTGCAAAATGTAGTAAAAATGTGTCAATTTGTAAATAAGAGTTATGAAATGGAAAAAAGTGGCCAAAAGATTAAAAAGAATAGTATTTTGTAAAAAATATGCAAAATATATAAAAAATAGTTGTAATTATGGTCTTAAATAAGTAATTTTTGTTTATATCTTGTCCACAGTTAAAATTCTCTAAAAATCCAGAAAAAAGTAAGTAATTCGTTGTTTTCTAAAATCTCTAAAATGTGTATTGTCGATGTGCTGAAAAAGCACCAAAAGTTTAAATGTGCCACGAAAATGTCTGTGCGTTGGAAAAACTAGAAGAAAGCTTACAAAATTTGTAGAACAAACGACGAAAAATGCCAGAAGCGTTAAAATCGTTGTTGCAACGTCGAAAAAATCGAAATAGTGTCAAAATTGTCAAAATGGTCGAAAAAGTATCGAAAGAGCGTCGAAACTGAAAAAAAAAAGAGTTGTTAGCATCGAAAACTTTATAAGGATGTGGAAAAAACGATGAGACATCTTAAAAAGTGTTGAAAGTATAAAAAAAGTACCCGAAAAACGTCACAAACGCCAAAACCAATTCCAAAAGGCATTGAAAAATGTAAAAAAACACGTTGAAAAACAATAGATAATACGTTAAAGTCTTGGCCACCGTTTGTAAAAGCATCGAAATTATTACAAACATCTAAAAAGTGTTCAAAAATATTGAAAGCGCAGAAAATGAGACCAAAGCGTCAAAAGCTTCGTTGGAAAAGAGTCTAAAAAACGTGTTCAGCGTAAAAAATAGGTAAAACCCATCGGAAGCTTTGTGGAAGGTTTAACAGGACAAAAAAATGTCAAAACGTATAAAAATCACCGAAAACGCGTTAAAAATGTAGTTGTTAACATCGAAAACTTTATGAGGATATGTAAAAACGATGAGACATCTTAAATAAACATAAAAAGCTCAGAAAATGAGTCCAAAAGTCAAATGAGAAAATACAACCAATTAACAGTTGACATTGACAGCTGATATGTTGACAGCTGACATTGACAAGGGTCAAAGAAGTATGCCAATGTATCTTACAAATGCACGATGTTTAAGATTATATTTGAATAATGAAGACAGGAGAATATTACAAAATAACGCAGATGATAATGACTTAGTTACTGTTAAACTTACCTTAAGGAATATAGCTGAAAAACAGCCAACGGTACCGAAGTCAAATTATTATTGGACAGGTCCAGCCTCGTGATGGCGTATAAAGAAATATCGTAGTTCCTGGGATTCTGCTTCAACTTCGGATTGAGGTGTAGGGCTGCGTCGATTAGCCACTGCGTTTTGATTTGCGTTAAATTGCACTTTTGGTTATGCCAGTTGATCATGGTGGGGGTGTTCGGGAACAAGGACGAATACGTCAAGTTAGTTACGTTCGAGAATATTGTAAACTGGGAGGAATTGACATTTTCCGTCATGGCTTTTTTGTTAATTTTGTACTCTGGGTCCGGATGAGCCTAGAATACATACATAATTGATATTAACTTGTAGATAATCACGAAAATGATCAAATTTAATACGTTTCTTATGGTTGATCTGCACTCCCCAAAAGATAAACTACACATTACAAAAAATTGAAAAAAATTGAGAAGGTATATGTGAAGACTAGAAGTATTTTGACAAATTTTAAGCACACTTCATGTTTTCGTTTTCGAAAAAACTCTAAAAAACTAATTTTTTCCAAGTATAAAGCGGGAAAACCAGACATACAATTTTGTTAATTTTCTTACAGCATAAAGATATAACCCTAAGAAATACTTATGAATTTTTTGAAAATTTTTGAATGTACAGTTTTGTCACAATGGGAAAAAATAATATGTTCCGGCTTATAATAAAGCTACCGGTAAGAAACCGGAAAAAATTTTAATACCAACATATATAAAACTGTAAAAGTGGAAAATATTTGCAATAAAACGTTGAATATTTTTACCTAAACATATGAAAAATCTCGTTAAACAAGAATTATAACTTGAACTGCCGCCATCAAATTGTATCGTAGAGAGTTGGCTCCATCTCAAACATGAGTAATATTTATCATCGATAGATTGCATTACTTTCGGCCTCGAAACGCTTCAAGCAAATCGTCATACTAACAGGGTTGCCATATCAATTATTTTGTACAACACTTGGCAGATTACATCAAGATTTAATAAGAATGTTATCGGTTTGAATGAATTTTATCTGACATGCTGAAACTTACAGAATAGTAGATACTGTACTATTCCATCTACAAGTAATATATCCATAAAAAACGTATTTGGTTTTTAAAAACCTATTTAGGCGTTTTTAGTTAATTATTTTAGTATTTATAAACAATAGTGTTGCTTGCATAACGTATTAGTGGTAATTTTTATATTAGTACAAGCATTCGTTTTTCTTAAGGAACTCACATTTGTCAACTTGTATTTTAAATCTTGTTTGTCTTAATTTCTCAAAAATCTTCTTAAGATTTACATCTGTTCTTAAAGAAAGGTTGAAAATACAATAATGTCCATGTAGACTAGATATATTTCTCCTGTAAGTCCTTTTAGTGCGTTCTCCATTACTCTCTGGAATGTTGAGGGTGCATTTTTGAGTTCGAATGGTATTCTCAGGTATTCATAGTGGCCATTTTCAACGTTAAATGCAGTCTTCTATAGTAAAATTCATTAAGCGATGCAGGAAGATGTAAACATTAAATCGTGTCCGAACCGGTATGCGCTGCCGACAACGTCGGCAAACGAAATAAAGATGGACATTTCGGTTAGTTTTTAAATATTTTTGAAGAACTGTTACTTGCATTTATGCATAAAATATTCATTAATTTTATAAATCGGATTATTTTTTCACTTACTATGTATTCAGTGATAACATTAATTTATTTACTATGCAATAAACACGAATATTTAAGAAAAGAAAAAAAGTAATAAAGTGTCATAATTATACTGTTACTTATCGGAACGAGTAGACTCATTTGGAACATCTTTAACAATTATCTGTTAAATTTATCGTTGTTTATATGCCCTGCATCGCTTAATGAAATAAGGTATAGATATCTTCTTCCTCCATTTCAATTTGATGGAATCCATTGGCTACATCTAGGATGGAAAAGTATTGGCAGCGTCCTAGTTTATCCAGAATGTCTGTTATATTTGCAATTGGAATTGGTCTTCTCGTTGACCTTCCTGTAGTCGACAACTATTCGCCATTTAATTTTTCCTGGGACATCTGGTTTCTTTGGAATGACCCACATTGAGGATGACCAGGGCGATTGACTCGGTCTGATGATTCCTTGATCGATCATGCTTATGGATGTGTGGATACCGATTTAACTTGGTGTAAACCAGAACTTCATCTCTGGTTCGTATATGGTGTTTTATTTGGTTAGTAAATGTTAACGGACTGTCTGAATGACGAAATATGCATGATGCAAACTTCCTGCACTGTCGTCTTAGGTGAGATTCTTTTTCTGTATTAAAATAATCGGTTCTTAGGAAAGGATCGACATCTCTTAGATTTATTGGTTGACTTTTGATGGGATCAGTTATTGCTACTTGGATATATTCATCGGTGTTATTGACTAGCTCGGTCAGGGCAAGTTGATTACATGCGATGGTGAGAGTTTCTCTTAGGATGGCACCTTCAACTTCTTGTCTTGGGATGACGATTTTACCTGATGTTTCTTTTACTGGCAGTTTGACTTGTGTAATTGTTTAGGGCTCTTGGTGGACTGTATAGAATTGGGCTTTATTTGTGACATAGTAATTAATAGGAAGAATAGAATGCTCTGTAGTAAGAGTAACTTGGGTAAAATCGAGATTTGCTTTCAAAAGCCTTAAGATTAAGACCATAAAAGGTCTTGTGAAATTTGAAAAGATAACATTTTAAGTTAATATCCGAGTTAAATTCGGGAAAAATTGGAATTTCTACACAATAATCTTCTGAATGATTCTGAAAAATTGATGTAACAAGTGGTTCATATTTAATATTATTTTTGTAGAATTTATTGGCTATATCAGGATTAAGGAAAGATTTAGTGGCTCCTGTATCAATAAGAAGTTTAAAAGGGAATTTTGAATTTTTTGTAAGAAAACTCTCTTTGTCAGCATAAGAATGCAATTCTACTACGTTTCTTCTTTTCTTTTTGAAATCTTTGAAAATTTACATTTTCGTCCTCATAGTCTTGGATTTTTTGTTCATAGTAAGACTAATCTGAGTATGTGTCTATATACCTTCATCATAATTGCTCTTATTGGTCGATATTAAGAGCTTTTCTACGGTGAATCGGGGGCTAGCTGTTTTTTGAAAGCGGAAGTTTCTTTGAGATTGGGGTCTATTGCCGGTTTGGCGTGTGAATACGCTTATAGGTTATATTATGATAACGTAGACAATGAGTCTCCACATTAACTGACAGAAAGCCTCAAAAGCTATAGGAAAGCATCGAAAAACTTTGAATGCACCAAAAAGGCTTTGGATACACGTCATTAAGAGCGCTAAAAGTAACTGAAAAGCGTCAAAACGGTATCGAAAGCATCGTAAAAACCTCAAAAACGTTGCAGGGGCATCGAAAAAGCTTCGGAAGAAATGGAAAGAAAAGGTGATATAAGAGACTAATAAAAAAAATAGGTTTAAGAGTGAAAAAGTCGAAAGAGTTGGAAGAGCGTCAAAAAAGGGTTTAGAGTATGTTCAGATGTTTTAAAGCTTGCACTTAAAAGTCGAAACAGCTTCCAAAACCGTTAAGAAAACGTAAAAAGTGACGAAAAGTCGTCAAAATCGAAGAACAAATCGAAAAGGGTTCATAAAAACGTTGATATTTCGAAAAAAAAAACGTCCTAAGCTCATAAAAAGATCAAGAACGTTGAAAAAGTATTGAAAAAGCGACAAAAGAACAAAAAAGGTATGGAGAAATGGTCCAAACAACATAACACATGTTAGAACATCACCAAAAGCCTAGAAAAACGGCCTAACAGAATGAATAGCTACAAGAAACATCGACAAAAAAGGTTAAGAGAAGAAACACATAAAAATATGTCCAAAACATCGAAAAATTGTCAAAACAACTTTGAAAGCATCTACAAAACGACAAAAACATTAAAATCGTTAGGTTAGAATCGAAAAGTTAAGTAAATGTTAAAGACATTGTTAAAGGTATCGAAAAAACTTTGGAAAACAACAAAAAATAACAAAACAGGTGAAATAGCGTTAAGAACATTGGAATCAAGTAGAGAAGATTTCAAACGTGACAAAAAGACGTCAAACGCATCGAAATGTGCCAACTAATGGAAAACGTATCATAAAAGTGTCAACATCATTGAAAAAATATAAAAAAAAACTTACCTTTGTAGAGAGCAATTTGGCTATCAGTGTCTCGTCATTGTTTTCAACGGCAACCGCTAGGGCTTTGCATTCGTCGTCTCTAGCTCCATGTTTCAACAGTAAATCAACGACAGGAACGTCTCTGTTGCGACAAGCTTCTACTAGACCAGTGGACTGCCCAAAATTGGAATCATCTTCGACAGAACAACAAGTCAAAGTCTGAAACCACAAATAATCGTATCATTTATGAAGCGATATACTGACTTTAGTTACATTTTTCATTCAATTAAATCTAAATCAAATGTTCTGTTTGTTTTACCTCGTTTATGTCATGGTAGGCCTTTATAACCGAATTGGCGCTGGCTCCGGACTTCAGCAGAGCCAAAACTATGTCGTACTGCTTTCCTTTTATTGCTGCATGCAGAGCGGTTTCCGTATTATTGTTACAATAAGTGTCGATCCTCAAGGGGCAAATCATTTTTGTATTCGGGTCAGTCTAGAGCAAATAAAAACTATTGAGTTTACGTAAATAATCAGTATATTGGATATATTCTTAAAAAACCATTGTACCTCATATAATTTTAATGTTAATACATACACAAATTTTTTTATTTAGGGTTGTGAGTGTAAATTTAGATATATTCACTAGGACACTGGGTATTGAAGATGACCAGGTTTTTGTGCTCCAAAATGTAAGACTTTTTTGTTTTTCTAACAAATTCCTTTAACCGTCCGTTAGAACTCCAACGAGACGGCAACCGAAGACACGTCGATGTATGTCTGGTTGCCGACATACACTCGGCTACACCCACGTATGTTCTGTTGCCGACCTTCTGGCGTCACATATTGATAAATGCCATTCGGTGATAAATGATTTGTCCCGTGCCTTAACCACCAAAACATATATGAAATAGCGTTAAAATCATTTGAAAACATAGACAGAATTTGAAAAGTTACGAAAAAGTATGCAAAGTTTCGAAAAAATGCTAAAAGTGTTGGAAAAATATCAAGAGCATTGAAAAAAACGACAAAGCAATCAAGTGGCTCATAAAAGCGTTAAAAGAGCAATAAAATATCAAAAGTGTAGAAACAGCACAAAAAAGTTGGGAAAACAAGGGTCGAAAGGATCGAATGGGTGTCAAAATAGCGTCGAATAAAAAAAAGCGATGCAAAAGCATCAAAAAGGTTTTAAAAGTAAAGAAACGGTATCAAAGCGCTGAAAAACAACAAAAGTATCCAGATGATTTAAAAAGGCTTCAAAGAATCGAAAAAAGGTAAAAAAAGTGTCGGAGGCATCCAAAAAGTTTTAAATGGTACAACTTCGCAAGAAAAGGTCTACAAAAGTGATGAATAACATCAAAGCTGAGGAAAAATTACAAAAAAGCATTAGAAGAGCTTCGAAAAGACAAAAAATGGTCGAAAAACTTTGTAAAGGCATTAAAAGTGACGAAAAAAACGTTAAATAGGAATTGAAAAAGCGTTAAAATTGTTGTTAAAGCATTCGAAACATTGAGAATGCCAAGACGTAGTAACGATTCGGAAAAACCAATAAAGTTTAACTCCTCTCAAAGACCCATAACATGAATAGGCGTTAAAAATATTGAAAAAGTTATGAAAAGCATTGTTTTTCAGTGAAACAGTGTTAAAATCGTCCAGAGTATTGACAAAATCTAAATAACAGTGTAAAAAACGTATCAAAAGTGCCAAAACCATTGGACCATTGATCTAAAACTGTCAAAAAACGTTAGACACGCGTCAAATGTGTCGAAAAAGGTTGAAAAGTCTTTAAAGCGTGCCTGAAAAACGTCAAAACCGACATTAAAATATCAGTTTTGTTATTCGCGATAGACATAAATGGCCAGTGTTGCCATAGTTATCGAAAAAATAGTTTTTTAGTAAACATTTTGACCAAACTATTACGGTTTTAGGAATATTTGTACTTAACTTATAAACAAATTATTAAAAAACACTATTAATCTGTATTACTTACCTCTGAGGTTTCTGAGGAATTTTCTCTGGAAAAATTGAGCCTGGACATGATAGATATGATACCATCTGATATTCTTCTACGTGTAGGACTTACAATAGATGCGGTTTCAGAACTGGGGGTAATATCATCGTCCTAAATAAGAAAAAATATAATCTAGAGCATAAATTATTTAGTAACCTCTATTATTTCAATATCAAAAGTAACTTGGTAAAAAACATCGCTATATTGTAGCAGAAAAGTTATGATTGTCCAATAAAAAGATTCATTTTGTTTGTATTTTTGTACTTTTTTTTTTTCAAAAAATATATATGGTCACCGTAAGTATAGTAGGCACGTAATTTCGTTGGAAAATGTACGGGAACAAGAGCGAGTAAGATACTAGCAAATTGGCAACAGTGTTAGAGTGGTCATTATGATATTCTACTGAACAGTAGCGTCGATATCTAATTTTAAATTAAATAAACGTTATTATTTTGCAAACATTTGATTTTAAGTGTAAATGGAACAGTCGCATGACTTCAAATTATGTGGGTATCAGCAAATATATTCTCGGCAAGGCGATTTGAATATAAGGCCAATATAAGAATGCAACCAACTTCAATCAGTCGAAGAAAGTTACTAGAGGGTCAAATAGATTACCATTTGGACAATTACCTAAAGTTCAACCTCCTAAGAAAAGATTTAAAAGGCATCACAATCTTTCGTCCAACATCGCAGCAAATTAAAAATGGGGAAGGACATTGAATTTGTATTGAATATATATAGTATAATATATCATATATTATAATGAAAACAGAAATACAATAAATTAACTTAGAAATATATACAACCAGATATACAGTGTTGATTAGTGGATTTATTTAAATAGTGGTTAGAGACATAATTTGTAAGTTATATACTAGATAATATTATAAAAAATAATTATATGAGGGTATTTTTAAGAATTTAGCATAAGAATTAAGTTTAAGAAGTTTTTTTTTATTTTATTTAATATTAGATATTTTTGAGTCAGCATATGCAACCAAACATACACTGTAGTGTCAAAGTCAAAAAGTTATTTATTTTTGGAATGTTAATTTAGAATATAATTGTGGATGTAGAATAGTAAAAATATATTTCATATAAATGTTTAAGTTACATATAATAGTGTAGTTCTGATCTGGAGAGCCTAAAGTCAAGTAAATTGTTAGATAGAAAATTCTGAAATGTCAATGGGACTGTATACATAATACATCACAGACAAAAAAACCATTCCAGAATTTTCAAATAGAAAAAAATAGAATGATTCGAACATTATTTGTTGCTAGAATATTCTGGAAAGAATGAAAAGATATAAAAAGCCATGTAATTTGGCAGAGGAGTCAGTCAGTAGTCAGTTTGAGTTAGAGTTTAGTTCAGTTAAGTTAGTTACCAGTTGATCAGTTATCAGTTAGTAAAGTTATAATTCAAGAATTTAGTTACAAGAAGATTATTAATTGAGTTAAGTGAGTTAGTTAGAAGATATTAAATCAGTTACAAGATTATTATTGAGGAGTTAGTTATAACAATTTAAGGATTATTAAGTCAGTTATTTATGAGGTTATGAAGAGATTATTCAATGCTAGAAGAAGGCATTGATTAAGTTAAATGAATTATTAAGTTAAATACAGTTGGAGATTAATTATTACTACAGTAATATAGTGACAGTTTGAAGTTAATTCATTGAAATAAGCATTCAATAATACAACCACAAGATCCAGTATATTTCAAAGTACATTATATGGAAATTACAAGGAGTTAAATATATATTTATATGGTGAGTGGAGATAATTAAGAAGGAACATATTAACATAGTTGGATAACCAAGGCTTAGTAAGAAGATATCGAGTGGTGATAATAACTTTAATTTTGGAAAAACTTTAGGCGTTCAGTGAAAGAAGGTACCAAATTTTGTTAATAATTTAATAATTGTAAGAATTTCAAATTTTAGATAGATTGTTTTAAATTGATATTGCTTATATTAGATAGATAGGTTTGTTTCATAATAGTTATAATAAAGATAATTTAAAAAAGTACTTACAAACTAATTCTTTGAGAACCGCGATAAAAACCCTATACTTACATATATCATTCAAATTTACTCATTGCTCATACAACAACAACACATCATAACCAATATATATCTATATATATATATATTATAGTATATAAATATATATATATATAATATATATATAACAATATGATCATAAAAACAATATTACTATATATAAACATATATATATCATATAGTATCCTATTATAATATATATATATAATATATATATATATTATATGAGTATATATATATATATATTATATATAATTATATAACTTACTAAATATAATACATATAGATAATAATATATTATATGATATATATAGTAGCAAAAAATAACGACCGTTGATTACAAATTTTAAAAAATATTCAATAGTTGAATAGCAGAGGTTGTATCGGTCAATAATAGGCAAATGAAAGTCGTCAACTACTTCATTGATTTAATCGAATACGTTTCGCTTTTTAGTTTTCAAAAGCATCATCAGTTCACTACAAATAAAAATAAAACGATGTAAAAAATAAGTAAATAACCAAAAGGGTTCATACTTACAAAAACAATTTGTAGGTTTTGTAAAAGATGTTAAACACACTCTACGATAACTTAACATTAAAAAATTTAAAAACTAAACGATAATATCGAAACAAAAAACACACAGGAAAAAACTGAAACAGCACTATTGTTTATTTAATTTTTACCGATGGCTTCATCTCAATGTGGGTGTAAGCTCTTTCGAAGACCCAACACAATAATCTCTTGGAATGTTTTCTATCGGTTTTAGGCTGTCACATTTGCACATGTGGCATGTGTCGTCCATACGTTTCTTCGGAAAGCAGTGAGGTACAATTATTAAAAAAGTTAGTAAGCAGAACGGGGACAGCCCTATTTTTCAAAAGGAATATTTTCTTCTACAAAAAAAAAAAAATATTTTGAAAATATTTCTTTCCTATTTTCAAAAATATTTTTTTTTTTGTAGAAGAAAATATTCCTTTTTGAAAAATAGGGCTGTCCCCGTCTGCTTACTAACTTTTTTAATAATTGTACCTCACTGCTTTCCGAAGAAACGTATGGACGACACATGCCACATGTGCAAATGTGACAGCCTAAAACCGATAGAAAACATTCCAAGAGATTATTGTGTTGGGTCTTCGAAAGAGCTTACACCCACATTGAGATGAAGCCATCGGTAAAAATTAAATAAACAATAGTGCTGTTTCAGTTTTTTCCTGTGTGTTTTTTGTTTCGATTTATCGTTTAGTTTTTAAATTTTTTAATGTTAAGTTATCGTAGAGTGTGTTTAACATCTTTTACAAAACCTACAAATTGTTTTTGTAAGTATGAACCCTTTTGGTTATTTACTTATTTTTTACATCGTTTTATTTTTATTTGTAGTGAACTGATGATGCTTTTGAAAACTAAAAAGCGAAACGTATTCGATTAAATCAATGAAGTAGTTGACGACTTTCATTTGCCTATTATTGACCGATACAACCTCTGCTATTCAACTATTGAATATTTTGAAAAAAGTATATAAATATATATAAAAACATATAAATATATTATATATTAATAGTATATATATATTGATATATAATTGGTCTACACCCCAGTTGTTGGGGGTGTAAACCGCAAATGCTGTCTAGATCCTATTTCTTAAGTGGATCAGTCTTTTTTGTTTATCTTATCTTCTTGACAATATCTCTCCATTTTTTCCTGTTTCTAGTTCTTCCTCTCCATTCTCTGACTCCTGCCCTTTGGAGGTCTTCTTCAACTTCTTGCCGCCACTTTGATCTCGGCTTCCCCTTCTCTTTCTTCCTCCTGGATTCCATTCTATCATTGCGTATGTCACTGCCTCATCGCCTGCTCGCCAAATGTGACCTAACCATCTAACTCTGCATTGCTTTATTTTAGTTACGATGTCTTCCTTAAGTTCTTCCTTAATTTCTGCATTTTGTTCTGCTTCTATATTCATTTTGCTCTGTTCTGATTGGTCCTAGTATGGTTCTTATAATCTTTCTCTGTGCTATTCTTAAGTCTCTTCTTTTTTTTTTAACCATCGTCATTGTTTCTCCTCCATATAATAATATTGGCGTAATTATGGTGTTATAAATGCTCATCTTACTTTTTTAGTAAGTTTTTGCTTTTAAGTAATCTTTTGTTTGCAAAATAAGCTTTATTCGCTGCTAATATTTTTTCTTTTATTTCGGATTTCCTTTCTCCGGATTTACTTATTGTAACTCCTAGGTATTTGAAGTATTCTACTTCTTCAAACTCAGAACTTCCTATTTTGATTTTTTCTTTCATTGGTTTTTTCCCTAATCTTAATATTTTTGTCTTTTCTTGATTTAATCTTAGCCCCATTACCTCCCCTTTCTCTCTTATTGCTTCTAGCATTTCTTTCATTATTTTTCTGTTCTTTGCAATAATAGCAATATCGTCTGCATATGCAATTATTTGACCACCTCTTTGTATAAATATTACATTTTAAAAATATAATTTTTTTTAATACTTATTTAAATATATTTTATTTTATTTACTATTGCACTGATTTACCATTCCGTATATGAATTTCGCACCAAAGTAACATTCCATATACGTGTTTGGCACCTCGCCGCCTATTGGTTGAAACATGGCCGCGTGCTACAAAGGACCAATAGAAAAGTCCTAGGTGCCAAATACATATACGGAATGTTTAGATGCGTACGGTATATAAGGCAATTTTTGGATATAACGAGTCAATTTCTACAGTTTAAATAAACGTAACACTACTTTAAAACATTTTTACGAATACTTACATCAGACGGAGTTATTCTGGTGGCTTTAACCCTAAAAGACAGTATCATATCTATCAGCTTCTTATTTCCTAACAATGCGGCAACATACAGTATGTTTTGTCCAGTTGCATCTCGCTCGTTAATATCGAAAGGCATCAGGTATTCCCATTGATCACTTTTATCACTAAAACCGAAAAATATATTATACGAAAAGTTCTCTGCTTTCCCCCATTATTTTCTGAACCGTAAAACTCTTGTGGACAACTAAACTTGAAGCATTTGTGCATTGTTTTTATGGTATTTTAGTGACGCGGTCACCAAAAATTACTGACACGTACGATGGATTCTCCCACGGAGATATTTTTTTTATTAAATATCGATTATGTAAAAAAATATGAACTACACCAATAAGTTTCTGTGAGGCCACAAGGTTACTAACAGATTAGATGATTGGAAAGGTAGAAAGGCCTCAGACTTGGAGTTCCTGCTGATTATAGCAGATATTGGAGCCCCAAGCAGCCTTGACTCCAGAAACATCGAAGACTAGGTCCTTATGGCCTTTTCCGTATGATAAGGGTTATACAATGAACCCGTCTTAGGAGGTCTGAAAAGCTTATAAATGGGCCCTGCCCAGTCTACCATAATCATAACACCTAATAACGTGGTAGAGTTAGAATTATTTATTTACCTACATAACAAATACAAATATTGTTTGTAGTAAGTCAAAAAAAAGTATCACTGTGGATGTCTCGCAGAATCCTGAAAATATCATGGACCGAGAGAGTCACAAATGTCGAGGTCTTGAGAAGAATGAATAAAGAAAAGGAAGTTATATTTACGATCAAAAATCGAAAACTGCAATACTTGGGACACATTACAAGAGACGAAAGATATGAACTGCTTCGAATAATTATGCAAGGGAAAATAGCAGGAAAAAGGTCTATAGGAAAGAAGACGAAACTCCTGGCTAAAGAATCTACGGGAATGGTATAGCTGTAGCAACAACGAATTGTTTCGGTCAGCAGTTTCGAAAATACGTATAGCCCTGATGATTGCCAACCTTCGGAACGAAGATGGCACTTGAAGAAGAAGAAGAAAAAAAAGTAGTGACAGTTTCGCGTATTGTGAATGTGGACATCAGACTGCTTTATTAAATGGGCATGTTTTCTCTGAATTTCAGTTAGAACTTCAAATATCAACACAACCTAGCTCAAGTATTTACTCCAAACAACGACGCTCCAGATATTGAAATTCAATGGGACATAAATAACATTCCAGAGAACATACCAGTAATCAGACCATTAACCAAAAATGAAGTTCAACAAGAAATCCAATATTTAAACATTAGAAAAGCTCCTGAGCTGGACAAAATAACACCCAAGATGATGAAGGAACTACCAGATAAAGGAATCATACTGATTACTCTCATCTTCAATGCTATTCTACGATTCAACTACTGGCCAAAGCTCTTTAAAACCGCTGAAATAATACTAATCCCAAAAGCAGGAAAAAATCCAAACGAGGTTTCATCATATAGGCCAATAAGCCTACTACCAGTCGTATCCAAAATACATGAAAGGTTACTGTTACAAAAAATTAACTCAGACCCCAATACGGAGGAATGGATACCCAACCACCAATTTGGCTTTCGAAAAAAACAAACACTCTACAATACAGCAGGTTCATAGAATAGTACACACTATAAATTCTGCAATGGAAAGCAAATACTACTGCATAGCTGCTTTTCTAGATGTTAGTCAAGCCTTTGATAAGGTTTGGCACACAGGCCTGATTTTCAAAATCAAGAAATATTTACCCATCACGTACCTGAAACTGTTAAATCCTATCTGAGTGGGAGAGAATTCCGAACAAGAGTGAATGACAGTAATTCCAATAATTTTCCTATAAAATCTGGTGTTCCACAGGGCAGCGTTCTTGGACCAATATTATATGTGCTATACACAGCAGATCTACCCTCCACTAATGAAACCATCACTGGCACATTTGCAGATGATGTTGTCATCCTTGCAGCCGACAAAAATCCAATTATAGCATCTAACATTCTACAGGTACAACTGAATGAAATCGAGACATGGTCTTACAAGTGGAGAATTAAAATGAATGAAAACAAAATCAGTCCAAGTGACGTTTACCTTGAGAAGAGACGCGTGTCCCCCAGTTTCACTTAACAATATCCAACTTCCCCAATCCTCTAGCACTAAATACCTAGGAATAAATCTTGACTCAAAACTCACCTGGAAAGAACATATTCTTAAGAAGCGGAAACAAATTGACCTAAGAATGAAAGATCTAAACTGGTTAGAAGGCAGGAAATCGAAACTGAGCCTTGAAAACAAAATCCTTGTATACAAAACCGTCATAAAACCTATCTGGACGTATGGAATCCAACTCTGGGGATGTGCGAGCAAGTCAAACACAGCCATAATGCAAAGATGCCAATAAAAAAGGACTTACTCGGAGAAGGATAATTTCTATAACTGAAGAGAACATCGACATTAATAGTGGGAAAAGATGTAATTATATTATCTGCTATTGTAGTAAAAAATTGATTTTTTCGCCTGGTGGTAGATCAGGTTGTACCGAATTGGATCTGGTGTTTTTTCTTTCAAAATTTACTATTTTCCAGCATTCTCTAGGAGGTTTATTATTGGAATTAGTAATAAAATTACAGTAAGCTGACTTTTTGTTGTTTATATACTTTAGAACAAATCGGGATCCTTAGTGGCATCTGCAATGTGTTTAATAAGAGGAAGATTAGATCTGTAAGACCTTAATTCATTATTAAACCACTGCACGGGTGCTTTTTCAGCAGTTTGTCGTCCTTTTTTAGTGGAAAATGCTTTAATATTAAGTTGTTATAAATTTCGGTAAGAAAGACTGTCAAAAAATCAGGATCATTATTAATATCATAGAAAAAGTCCATATTTGTACTAGCTAGCGCACGTTTAAGCTTATGTAAACCAGAAGAAGTAATAAACGATTAAAATGTTTAATTAGTGTCAACAACCTTATGCTCAGAGTCAATAAATAAAAATTGAGCTCGATTTTTGAGCTCAGCTTTTATGGAAAATGCTTGGTACACATCAATTTCTTTTTCCAGTTTTCCACATACTAAGAGAACTTATTTGTTTTTTACTGATGTCTGTCAAAACTTTGACGTCACCAACATAGATGACGAATTCTAGAAACACACTGACTGAAATAAGAACTTTCAAATAAGTTATTTCTTGCCATATAATACGATTTACAATAATTTTACAAAATGGCGCCCATTACTACGGAGATAATCTCTTAGGATATTACAAAGTATATTTTTGCGAGTATGCCGGTGTTTTTCTTCAAATTAGTACAGTAAAAATGTTTAGACACTTACCGGTACTTTTTCTGCACTTGAGTCGGATACGGAAAATGAAACAAAAGCTCTAAGACACTGACGTGTCCGTTTATGCAGCAGGCATGAATTGGTAGCCATCTTTCTACTGTGTGAATCTAAAAAAAACGTTCATAAAGTCACGGTACATAGTAAAATAAAAATGTGTTTAATTCTTCTTCATTTTTTAACTCAACCATAGAATGGATTAAGTTTTGTCAAGTTTTTCATGAAAAAGATTCTAAAATTAAAGAACGATCCCAGATTCGAGTAATTTTTTGTATAATTAATTTATACTTACATGAACTAATTCAGGAAACCTCAACAGCAACAACTCAACGATGTCTCTGTGTCCACTGTAGCAGGCTATATAAAGAGGAGAGTACTTTGTCACCGAGTGACACCTACCGTCCGCTCCTTGATCCAGCAATATTTTGACAATTTCTTTGTTTCCTATTTGGCAAGCTCTAAAATAAAAAATAACGATGAAATGTTATAGCCGTCTACAATATAAAAATCTAAAAATGTCTTTAATTGTTGAGAAACACTTGCTTAGTTAATAAGCCAGATAAACTGACGATACATTTAGCTAAAAGTATTAAAAGTTATCAAAAAAGTTAGTACTTCCGACTTACGTAAATAACAGAGTGTTGGCTCCACTTGGAGCCATGTTGACAATGAGTTCGGCATCGTTCTGTAGAGAGAGTAGCAATTGCTGAACAGAACTGGCATCCCCTTGCGTAACAGCGTCTCTTATTGCAGCATGTATTTCCAGTCTTGCTTTCTCTTTCTCATCTGCAACAAAACAAAAGAATGATGAAGACTTACAACTGGAAATGTCAAATTGATCGCAGAAGAGGAGTTTTGGCGTTTCTGAAACGAAGATTCCAAAATTTAGTTGAACAAAAATCAATAAAGATAAAACAACAACCACTCAAAGAAGTTTTACTCAAAGAGTTCATCAATCTGTATAAAAATCAAACCTATACCATACAATAATTGTAACAAAAATACCTACTGATATAAAGAGAAAGCATATTTATCAGAAAACATCAGTGTTAAAAATATTTTTCACTTATTACTTGCGATAATTGAATCTGTTGTTTAAATATTTTGATCGCAGTGTAATAAAGTTTTACACTGTAACCGCAAACAAATAATTTACATTTATCTGCTTTTTTAAATCATGCTCAGATAAACAACGAATATCTTTTATATTGGTCTCGCCATGGTCTCGCTCTTTTATATCGATCCTTCAAACCTAATATTGTAACAATAGGATGCGCGTTGAAAAAACTTTGGAAGCAAATAATATCCCAATAATACGGAAAGCAGCATATTTGGTTCCACCAAACAAAAGAGATGTTTCTAGGTATAATCCTGTTTCTATGAGCTGTATGGATTTAAAGTCTATCAGTAGGGTGCTAACCTGGCTATAGAGCCCCTCCTCCTTTATCCGGGCTTGGGACCGGCAAAAATTATGTCGAGCTACTCGATCCGCCCAACAAAACTGCAAAAATATTCGTTGTAAAGCAAATTACTGAGAAATCACTAGAGTATAATAGACCAGCATTTCTGTGACTAATTGACAAAGAACGCGTTTGGCAGAGTAAGACTCAAAGATGTAATCCATCTTCTGTATAATAGAGAAGTTCCCATAAATATTATAAAAACTATCGAAAACATATACCAAAACAACAAAATGGAAGTCAGAATATGGCACAACTTACAGAACCTATAGAAATAGGCAGCGGAATCAAACAAGGGGATTCATTGAGCCCAAGCTCTTCAATTTGATCATGGATAAAATCATCAAAAGCTTTAACAAAGGAAGAGGATACAGACGACGCAATATTGATAGCCCAAGATGAAGATGTAACCAGATGTAAAATAGAAATTGATGGCATCAGTATTGAACAAGTAATTGAAATAAAATACCTAGGAATTACACTGTCTAGCTATGAGACCTGGACAAAAAAGAGAGATCAAGCACAAAAAGCAAATAGACTGGCAGGATGCCTTAATAACAATATATGGCGAAACAGACACATTAACACTGAGATGAAATCAACAATTGACGACCTTATTGCAACATAATGGTAAGCCACAATTTTACAGAATTCTATTTTATTGCATTACGTATTTAAAGAAACCTATGTTAAGCCACACAAAAATTATTTGGCAATTATTGCAATAGATGGCGGAGTTATTGATGAATCGTGTTTATGCAATCGTCCGTTTCTGTTCACTTTTTCGCGTAAACCGTGGTAAGCTACATCAAAATGGCGTCGACATCAGGTGCACGTGCTGAATTAAGAGCGGTTTTAAGCGAAAATAGCACTTTAAATGTAAATTTTATTGATGATAGTGTAGCAGATAAAGAATTTAGGGCCAGTAGCGATGATTTTTCGTCTCAATCTAGCGAGGTAAGCTTTTTTTCTGATTTTTTGGCTTACCATGTTTTTGTACAAAAATATTTCGTGTATATTACATGGAAAAATATGGTATGCCATGTGGCTTATCGAGTTGTTGATATAAAAATTCTGAAATATTCGCAAATTCTAGAGTCTAATGCAGTCATTTTTTGTTGTATTTTAGGATGAATTGCAGGAACCAATACCAAGGCTTTTTGAAGATAAGGAGGTAAATCCAGAGAAGAGAAAACCAACAAGATGGAGACAAAGAAATGAGGAACACTATGATCGAAATGACAGAAAAAGAAGCCGTAATTCTGGACAGCAGTATACTTCGAAGAAAACCAAGACGATTTTTAGTTCACGTGAAATTGGCGAACCGTGTGAATGTAAAAATAAATGTAGGAGAAACTGCAAGGAAATCATGAACATTTATTTAAGAAATTTTGGGAGTTGGGCTCATTCGACCTTCAAAATAGCTATCTCTTTGGGTGTATCAGAGTAAAAAATAAGAATAGATCGTATAAGAAAAAACAAAAACGCAACATTTCTAGAAGAAAATTTACCGCTGAATATTTGGTTAATGTAAGGGAGATGGAAATTAAAGTATGCAAGACTGAATTCCTAAGTGTTCATGGTCTTCAAAAATCTCGTGGAAGAATTGAAAATATTTTTAAAATGAAGTCACTCGGGGCTATGGTTCCTATTCCTGATAAGAGAGGTAAGCACACAAACAGACCTAATAAACATTCAGAGGAACAGATTCAATCAGTCAAAACTCATATTGAATCCATTCCCAAATACCAAAGTCACTATAGCAGAGCCAAAAATATAAAAAAAGAATATCTGAACTGTGATATGACAATTACAGGACTATATACAGATTTTTATGTGCCATGGTGTAGAGAAATGAATATTACGCCAGTTAAAGAAAGTGCATACAGAAAAATATTTTGTACTCATTATAACATAGGGTTTAAATTACCTCGTTCTGATACGTGTAAGACTTGTGATGAGACGACTATTAAAATTCAGGCATCAAAAGACGTTAATAACGAAGAACAAGAAAAAGAGCTAACTACTTTCTTAAACGTACATATTGCTCGAGCTGACGCAATGCAAACTTTGCTAAAAACTGAAAAAAAATGAATGTGTTACAAACAAATCAAAATTGGTAATCTCGTTTGACTTACAGCAAAGTATGCCGCTGCCAAAATTAACCACTGGTCTTGCATTTTACTGCAGAAAACTGTGGCTTTATAACTTGGGGATTCACGACTGTACCAATGATAAAGGACACATGTACTTATGGACCGAAGATCAAGCTAAGCGCGGAGCAGATGAGGTTATTTCTGTTGTGATGAAATTTTTGAAGAACAAGTCAGATTATGACGAACTCGTTGTTTTTACCGATAACTGTCCTGGTCAGAACAAGAATTGGCAGTTAATAGCTTTTTGGTTGCAGTTAGTCAGGGAAAAGAAATTTAAACAAATAACGATCACTTCTGGTTAGTGGTCATTCTGTTATGCCATCAGACCGAGATTTTGCTCAAATTGAGAAGCGTCAGAGAAACCGTGCACCCATTATTTATTCGCCAGAAGGTTGGGTAGATATTATTACGAAGGCAAATAAAAAGAATCTAGGCATAAATAACACTGGCGATCTTTTGCCATGCCGCAAAAGACAGACGTCTGACCTTAAGATAATTTGCCAACGCAGTATAAGAAGAAGAAAGTGTTAGGTAGAACTTAGCGTTGCTATTAGAAGGTTTACCGAGGCTCTTTCGAAGTCTCGAGGCCTTGTATAACGATTAATGAAAGACACAAAAATCTAGAAAAAGGACAAATATATTTGTACCGGCTCAAGAGAAAAGCCTCGTGTTAAGAAAAAACCAAACATATACAACTGAAAACGATGCTATGAATTGTTTGAACGAGAAATTATGCAAATTAATGAACAAATGTGACAGAAATGTGAATTATTTTGATTTATTGTAGGTAGATGAATATGAATACTGTGTGCCATTAAAAAAATCAAGCAAGGAAGCTAACAGTTGCAGAGTTTGTGCCCTTTAATAACGATTAAGCAAAGGATTGCAGGTATTATTCCTACCGGTTACGCCCCCTCTTTAGTCTGCCCTAAATGTATCAAATCCCAAAATAGACATACTAAAAGGGGTCGAAGAAATAAATATTTACTTGCCTACATCGGAATTAAACAGTAGAAAATCGTCATTGAAATATACGCACGCGTCAAAGGCCACATCAGTCTTTCTCGTTTTCTTCCTTCGTCTTTCCATATCACATCTATTTTAAAAACGGTTAAAAACTAGCATTTTTTGTAACATCTATAACTATTCTACTGACATAGGGGAAAAAATCACATGGTTACTGCAGTGCTCAACCAAATTAGATTGAAACAGCTGTTAGGATAGGGGATGAAAATCAATACCCGGCTAAATAGAAGGGGAAGATTGGTTAGAGGTGTTATAGACCAGTCGATGGCATTTATTATTTAAAAAAAATTTATGTATGATGGAGACTGATGTTAAAATTATTGCCTTAAACAATAGTTTTATTATACCTCAAAATATTCATAATTTGCAATAATTAATACACATAGATTAGAAAAAATTTACAAGACTGCAATCAGGCCAGTGATCACCTATGGTGCAGAGACGATGTGCCTAACACAAAAAGATGAAATGAGGTTAGAAATCTTAGAGGGACAAAGATAATTCGACGAATAATGGGGCCAGTGAGGATAAGTGTAGGCGAATTTAGAAGATTAACCAATGAAGAAATTCAAGAAGTCATCGAGGGTGAAGACATAATCAAGTTCGTTAAGACGCAAAGGCTCAGGTGGCTGGGGCACACAGAAAGAGCTAACCTAGACTCTACGCTAAAGCGAATAACTGGATAGAGACCAACAACAAAGAGACCAAAGGGGAGACCCAAAACAAGATGGAGTAATATCAAGTCTTAGGAGACCTAAAGAAGCTGAGAATCTACAATTGGAAGAGCGCTGTAAGGATCAAAAGAATGGAGGAAATGTAGACGGGCCAGTCACACACGTGCTATAGAATAAAAGAACAAAGCGGACTGATTCTCCGCAATAATGATCAGAGACCCAAAGGGCGGCAAACACTCGCAATGAATAGCCATGATGATATGAATACACATAGAAAAGGATGCGTGGCTTGACTACCTAAAAAAGCTCTATGTAAAGGAAGAACAAATAAATCGAAAATAATGGTCCCTTGTCTGTCATTTGAATTTTGATCTATAATAAGGATAGTTAAGTTAAATTATTGAATAATTTAAGAAAAATATAAGATTATTGTGGTTACAGTTATATGCTTTTGAAATTTTTCCTAAAACTTTAGGAACATACGTTACTAGAGGAGCACAACAATCTGCTCTACGAAAATGAGAGAATACTTGAGAGATGGAGGCAATACATGAAAGAATTATTCAAGAAAAAGCAAGAGACAGAAGTCAGTGTTTCTGGATGTTCAGGCCACAAATAACGCTCAGTGAAGTAACACATGCAATAAAAAGACAAAAAACCAACAAAGCACCTGGACCTGATAACATACAAGCTGAAATATTGAAACTATTTGAAAACAAGGAACTCAAACTCCTAACGAGTCTACTGAACAAAAACTATAAAACTGCAGAATTTAGAAGAGAGAGATAAAGAGAGAGAACGTTTGGCACTAGTGATGGCCAAACTAAGAGAGTTCTGTCCTAATCGACAGCTGATAATCAAGAGAGTGTCTTTCTTCTTTGCTATCTTAACTGTCTGTATTTCTAATGGTGAGGGGGTAAAATGTAAGTAGGAAGGGTTATTAAGGGTTGGACTAAGGTGTTGATTGTAAAATTGTGATAAAAGGATAGTTAATAATACAGCGAAAAAATAACATGATTTTTCGCATGTGAGAAAATTGAACATCCACCTTCATCCCTCTCCCCAAAAAGACAAATACTACCAGAGGCTCTGATTACAGAATTATAAGCTTAATGATGTGCTAGACATAAAAATAACCTTACTAGCATCACCACAACAAAATACACATTCTTCAGGTCGAATGCCAACCTCAGGTGCGTTAAATAATGAAGTGTAAGACGTATAATCCGTTATTGAAGACACAATAAGAAATAGTCCATCTAAAGAACCACTCATAATCATGGGCGATTTTAACGCTAAGTTTGGCCATTGTAAACACAATGTTCAAACATCATGCTCGTCGTTTATCCACGTGAATCAGCCCAAATGGAGAATACAAGAACCAAATCGACTACATATTGATTAGAAACAGATGAAGACATGTTTTACAAACGTAAAAACTAGACCAAGAGCTGAATGTGGATCCGATCATAAATTGTTATGGGCTTGCTTCAAGATGAAACTAAAAAGAACAATTCCGCAACAAAATCCAAACAGGCTGGAGATTTCAAATCCAAATACATTTAGAGATGCATTAAAGGAAACTAGTATGTTGAACACATAAGACAACCCAGAAAAAATGTGAAAAGGTTTCAGAAATGCCATAGAAACCTCTGTAGAAAGAACCACGAACCGAAAAGAAAGATCATCAAAGAGAAAACACTGAGATGACAGACAGAACGCTGCAACTTCTCGAAGAGCGAAGGAGAATCAAATCTCTCATATATCAAAACGACAGCAACAAAAACGAATTAGCAAGGTTAAATAGAGAAATTAAAAGAGCATGTAGGGATGATAAAAATAAACATATAAATGAAGAATGCGAAGAACTAGAGAGACATGCAAACCGGTATGAATCCCATGAGCTACAGTATTGTGCGAATTAATGGAATCACTGTGAATTTTTTTTTCATTTTTTCAATATTCACAGTTGGCAACACTACCTACACAGTTGACAGCTGACCAAGCATTGAAAACATAACCTTACTGTGTGTTGGTGTGTTTGAGTGTGTTTTAGGTCATTTCTTACCAAGCTTGTGTTGTTTTGGGGGTTTTTGTACTATTTTGTGTTGTTTTTGGTTTTATTCCAACATGGATATTACGCCTAGGAAGCGTGAAAAGATTGTCACGTTGAGTGAACACACTAGTATGTCACAAAGAGAGATTGCTAGAACGTGTGGAGTGAGTCAGGGGGTAGTAAGCAAAATTTTGAAGCGTAAACGAGAAACGGGATCAGTGGATGTGAAAAGGTTAGGAAAATGTGGAAGAAAGAGAAAAACAACACCAGCAGATGATAGATTTTTACTTCGAAAGAGCAAATTGGACCCAAGAAAATCAAGCCAAGACCTACAACAAGATCTAGCAGCATCAGCTATAGTGATTCATGACTCAACTGTTCGTAGAAGAAAAAACAGCTTCTAACTGAACGAATGAAGAAACAAAGGCTACTGTGGGCCAAAAAATACTCTAATTGGACTGTAGGCGACTGGAAAAAAGTCCTATTTACAGATGAAACCCACTTTATAGTTCAGGGACAGCGGTCGAAATTCGTCAGGAAGTCTGACAATGAAAAGCTTACACCATCTCATATTGATCAAACCGTAAAACATCCAGTCAAGAAAATGTTTTGGGGATGTTTTTCATACATGGGGGTTGGATCTTTGGTGCCAATTGAAGGCATGATGAACAGCCAAAAATACAAATCCATGTTGGAAAAGTATTTGGACAAACAACTCCAAAAATGTCAACCCCAAGGAGGAGCGATTCTTCAACAGGACTCTGCTCCCTGTCACAAATCAAAGGAAATGATGGCATTTTTCAAAAATAAGAAGATTAATGTTTTAGATTGGCCCGGTAATTCGCCCGACCTCAACCCCATTGAAAATTTATGGGCCATTTGCAAAGCTAGACTGCGAAAAATCGACTGTACCACTAAAACAAAAATGATAGAAGCGGCCATTCAGGTTTGGTATCGAGATGAAAGGATATCTGACAACTGCCAGAAACTCATAGAATCTATGCCAAAACGGGTAAAAGCAGTAATTGCTGCCAAAGGGGGACATATTTCCTACTGAATGATGTAAGTTTACCTTTATAGTTTTGTCAAAATATAATTTTTTACTAAATAAACTGTTTTTTCATTAAAACAGCCTATGATTCCATTAATTCGCACAATACTGTATATAACAAAGTCCGATATCTATCCAGGGAATTTAAACCAATCACACAAACAATAATGAAAACAAAGCCAACATATTATAAATGACGAGAAAGGGATTGCGTAGGTATGGAGAAACTATTGTCAAAGTCTATATGCAGATGATCCCCAGAATGCAAATCACGATGAGTTCACTGCAGAGAGAGAACCAAACATTTTAAAGTCAGAGGTAGAAAAAGCAATCAATAAGTTGAAAAATAGAAAATTTCCTGGCGCAGACAAGATCACCGCAGAAGTTTTAAAAGAGACTAGAGAGAGAATAACATAATTCAACTAATTAGAAGTTTATATGAAAATAATAAGTGCACAGTAAAATAAACAACACCCATTCTGATCATTAAAGAAGAGAGGCAGGTGTCAGACAGGGATGGATAATCTCGCCAACTCTGTTTAATACAGCGAACACATTATATGGAATTTTTCCATATACTGCGGACAGGGTACGTCTATAATATATACCTGGATTAGACCACCCCGGATCTGTTGTTGCTTCTTTATCTGAGCCATTACTTGACGAAGGGTCGCACTCTTGTAGCAGACAACTGGTACAGCAGTATTTCATTAGCCACTTTTTTAAAAAATAGAAACACAGAATACGTGGAACAATGAGGGTTAATCGAAGTGGTATCCCAAATGACGTCAAAACAGAGAAACTAAACAAAGGACAAGTTATAGGTGCAATTAATACTAACGGAATTCGACTATTCAAGTATCAAGATAAGAAAACAATTTATATGGTTTCAACGTTCATGATCTGACATGAAGGAAACGGAGAGAAGAAATCGCAAAGGTGAAATAATTAGAAAACCTACTTCAGTTTTAGACTATTATAGATTAAAGGTGGTATAGACTTTTCAGATCAAATGATTTCTTACTACAGTCCTGCTCGTAAAAGTATCAATTGGTATAGGAAAGTCCTTTTTGAATGTATTAGTATTGCAGTTGTTAATAGCTGGGTCTTATATAAAAATTTATAGTAATAAAAATGCAACTAGTGTATTTACCAAATGTTTGGCGGAATCTTTACTTGGAATCGATACCAAGCAAAAAATAGAAAAGCCCATTCGAAAAGTTCATGAACTAACAAACATTGCACGCAAAGAAAATGGAAAAATTCAACGCAGGCGGTGTAATGGATGTTATAAAAAAATAAGTCTGGAACACAATCGTAAAAAAGCCCTGAAAGAAGCAAAACAAGTATCTATGGAGTGTAGAATTTGCGAGAAATCATTCTGCCTACCATGTTTCAACGAAATCATGAAAAATAATTTGAATTTTTGCTTTTTATTTTTTAGTCATAGAAATATATTTAATTTTTTTTTGTGTCGCAAAATTTGGAATTTATATACATTTTTTTAATCAATAAATAATATAGAAATCATGTTTTACTTTATTTCAGTAGTAGTATAAAATAGCAACACAAATTATAAATACCTTTCTTTTCGTGAGGTAATATGAAAATCGAGTTTCCTCTCTCAGACTTAACCGGTACACCCAATATCATATGCTTGGTCATAAATATACTTTTAAATGACACGACTAGCAATGCTTAATGAATATATCTCATGCGCTTTGAAGAAATATTTCATTATAAATATATTATTCACTGAGTATCATATATAATGCACAGACGTTCAAAAATAATGCCTGTGTATCACATGTAATGCACAGGACGGGAAAGGTTTAAACAAATACAACAGAGATGATTTGCACACATTGCTAGAAGAACAGGCACTGACGGAAAAACTGATAGTCGAGGGTAGAGTTGAAGGAAAGAGACCCAGGGGAAGATCTCCAAGCCGTTGGGTAGATCAAACAAAAATATTGATTAACCAAGGGTTACATGAAGCAGAACAACTAGCCCAGGACAGAGAAGGATGGAGGGAAATCGTAAAAAAACTGTGAAGGCCTGATGGTATCATCACATCCCAAAAGAGATTAGTACTGAGGAGGAGGATCCAATTTTAGGAACGTTTTTTTTTATTTGGAAAAAGTGTCATTTTTTACTTTTGCCTAATACTTACATTGTTTAATGATGAAATAAATATTTTAGTATGCATAAGTTGTTTTTATTGATGTTATAGCACATTTTAAGTACAAAAAATTATTCTAAAATGTTTTTTTGGCCAAAAAAAATTCAATTAAAAAAAGTATCCAATATTAGGATACTTCATTCGCCATTCCCCAATTCTTAATCTCTTCTATAACCTAACACAATGTTAACGTTATTGACTAGACTATTGCAAAAACCTGATGCCTGTATTATTTTGCGGTCAAAAGACCGGTTGAAAATTAACACTTGTCCACATTTATTTTCCCATCTAGATTTCAAATCGCAAATATTATACTCTACTCACCTATCTCGTCACAAGTTATTCTCCGATTACATCAAACCAACCATTGAATTTAAACTTCCTCTTCAACAACAACAAAACCAAGTAACCGAGGATGATAACTAACACGGCCGTGAAGCAGCACCTAGCGATCACTTTGTAAGCGCTCATTTTTCGAAAAAAATAAAAAAAAATCAACTACATATTAGAGTAAGGCACTTTTGTGACTCCGCGAGGCTCTTCCCCGTCGGTAACACGTTGGAGCGGTACATTTCTACTATCGGGGGAAGCGGCAACATCGTCCGATATAGGCCAGTAGATTGACCTAAAAAATACGGAAAGGGCAAAGGTGGGTTATTATTACGTAAATAGGAAGTGACGGAAGGTTGCGCGGAATGGGTCGGTCAAAAGAAGAAAAAAAAGTCTATGCCATTTTTTACGCTTAATCCAAACTTCTACAAGATAACGAATGCCAACAACTAAATAGTACAAGGAGAAAAAAATTAAGAATTTATCTAAACGAATACATAATAATCACAGAAAGTTTGACGAAAACAGGAAAATAATAGCAAACCGTTATATGATTAAAAATAAATGAAACATTAAAACAATCACCTAAAATTCCAAGTACAACTTGGCAAATTTCACATTGTCTCTGAGATGCGCAAACAAAGAACGGCAACAGTGTTATGACAGAGCGAGATAATAGAGAGTTTTTGTGCAAGCAAATACGTATACGTAACGCAAGGTTAGTAGATTATTTAAGTAGGTTGTCTCGTAACTATGTGGGCGAAGCGAGGGGAAGGCAGAATGCTTACGTCACTCATACGACAACGTCAAATTTGACAGTTGATGGACAGTTGTCTACATGCGTCTACGTTCACGTTTGTATTCCGTATATTTTTTTTGTGGAATTTTCCTATAGTATCATTAGTTCGTTATTTGTTTAGTTATTGTTTAGTTTTTATTTTTAAGTATAGGTATAAGGACAATATTATTTATAGAGACTTTTTATTAATTATTTTTAAACATAAACAGTTGTGAAGTGTGTTGTCGTAGCTGTGATATCATAGGTTTGTCTAAAAAATTCACGGTCATGAACTAACAAACCTATAGCCTGAAGATTTGTGCTTGAAGGACTAATCATTTTTTGTATTTTAATCTAATAATAAATTATTTATATTACCTATTTGTTTTTTTTTTTGCCTACCACTAGATATGATAAGAATGCTGCAAATTCCAGGAAAAACATAATAAGTAAGTTCCTACATATTTAGTATTTTTGCTTTTGAACTTTTTCTACTGTTTTTTTAGGTTTTTATGCGAAATAAACTGTTATCTCCGTTTAAAACGCACAATATTATCAATATAATCAATTCTATTTTTTGTCATCAGACTATTGATTTTAAAAAGAAAATTGATATAATTACTAATATAGAACCCACTTAACATCCCTATACCCAAGAAAATCCCAAAATATATTGCAAAACCTAAGTTTTTGAAACTTTTATTAGCATTGAAGCTTATGGCAATTTTAAAAGTGTCGTATGGGTGACGTATTCTCGCCTTTAAAAAGCGAGCATTTGATTGGTCTATAGTTACGAGACAACCTACTTAAATATCTACTAACCTTGTACGTAACGTATCTTTTTGACATATAAGCATGAGCATTAATGGTTGAACTAACTTATCTAGATACGTATTACCTAACGTAATGGACTGATACGTTACGTTCATACGCATCCTATCGAGCCGAAAGTAACCGCATGCACAAGGGGATTTTACCCGATTACGAAAATATCAACCACAGCACAGACCACAGTATAGACAAAGAACATCCACATTTGTGGTTAAGTATATTTGTTTTGATTTTTATAAATAATGGAAAACAGTAGAAAACGAATTCACTTCAGTAATGAAGATGATATGTTTTTGTTGAAGGAAGTCGTAGGAACACTTAAGATCATCCAGAAAGGTGAAATTTAATCCAAAAGCGAAAAAGGTTTTTACATTGTATATCAGACATGGTATCTAAATTGAAACGGCCGTATAGTCGTGCAAGATGTGGAGAAGAAGCGGATTTTCTATGTCCTCGTCTTCTTCATCATCAATAATGGCACCTACATTTATTATTGCGTCCATCTCCAAAATTAAAAATTGTTTTAAAAAATATTTGTTATTTATTTTGAATATCAAAAATAGGGTTAAGTGACAAGGATACGACTGGCGGGTGACAACTTATTAGTTTATCACTAATTCGATGAGGGCAACACCATAGTTACGTTACGTCATCATCATCATCATCATCATCATCCAGCCAAATTTTCACATCCATTGTTGGATATAGGCCTCCTCCAACGTCTCCAGTTCTCTCTATCTCTAGCTGCTGCAATCCAGTTTGTTTCTATTCTCCTTAGGTCGTCGGTCCATCGGGTGGGTGGTCTGCTCGACTTCGCTTGTCGGCTCTTGGTCTCCACTCCAATAATCTCTTCGTCCATCTTCCGTCTTCCATTCTAGCAACATGTCCAGCCCACCTCCACTTTTGTTTATTGATTCGCAGTATAATATCGTCTACGCCAGTTCGTCGGCGTATCTCCTCATTTCTTACGCGATCTTTCAAGGTCAGGCCCAGCATTGATCTCTCCATTCGCCTTTGTGTTACCCTCAGTTTTTCGGCAGTAGCTTTCGTTAAAGTTAAGGTCTCTGCTCCGTAGGTCAAGACTGGTAAGATGCATTGGTTAAATGCCTTCCTTTTCAGGTAAATTGGGATATTTGTTTTAAAAATGTCTTCATCCGTCCATATGCCGCCCATCCCAACGTGATTCGTCTATTTAGCTCGCAGGTTTGGTTGTCTCTGGTTATTCTAATTTCATGACCCAAGTATGTGTATTTATCGATTAATTCTACCTTGTTGTTATTGATCTGTATCTCTTCGCTGGGAACCATATTGGTCATCATTTTGGTTTTCTCGAAATTTATCTCCAGCCCAGTTTCTTGTAGTATGTCATTCAGTTCTTGGAGCATGTCTTTGATCTCTCCCAGATTATCTGACAGAAGCACGATATCGTCCGCAAAACGTAAATGGTTTAATCTTTCTCCATCGATGGATATTCCTTTCTGTTGCCATGTTAGTCTTTTAAATGCATACTCAAGAACGGTAATGAACAGCTTTGGTGACATGGTATCACCTTGCCCCTTTTTATCTTTATTTTATTAGTTGCAGAATATA